AGATCTGCCTATTTAGAAACTTCTACATTTAAAAAACATATTAACTTCAATATGATTTTTGAACAGTTTTTCAAAGGTGAGATATTTTGCCTTATAAAGAAATGTACAAAATCAGAACAGGGAAGACAGTGATGCAGTAATAAACGGCAACGCTCTACAGGACTGACCCACATGGGCAGGTTCGGGGTCATGTCCACACACCTCTCTGAGTACGCTGGGTGTGTGCATGCCCATGATCTGGGGCTGGCCGAGCTGGGGGTACACCGTGCTGTCACGACCGCACTGCAGTGCTGTTCATCTGCTGTGTCTATCTGTGAGGGCTCTCCCCTCTTTCTCACTCATGAAGTAAAGGAAATGGGCAGGCATCCTTTTGGTAAAGCACCTATGAAGCTTGGCTTGGTTTAGGGAAAAACAAAGGCAATGTATGAATTTTTTGTTTAGAGTGTACTAAGTTATAAAATATAAAAAATAATAAGACTAGGAGAGAGAGAGAAAGCAAGCCTGGAACCAGCAGATGGCATGATGGTTATGTCGCTGGACTCCCATGTAGTAGACTGTGGTTTGAGTCCTGGACCTGGAGGCTTAAACTCAAGCTGGGTGCAAAAGCATGTGTGCCCAATAACCTAAGAGAATCGAGGAGAAGGGGATGAGGCGTGGCCTTCCCCCCAGGGGGTGATTTCTTGCTTTGTCTCTACCTTTCTGGTGAACACACGCACCCTCTGGCAAAAATTTCTCTCCTTAAAAAAAAAAAAAGACTTTAAAAACAAATTTTTATACCTCATAACTGGTATAACATTAATTTCCACTTTAACCCAGGAAATTGTTTTTAAAAATCTAGATGATTATGTGTAAGAGCCAGACACTTGTGGGATATACCAGAGCCCTCCAGGACCCATGAGTGAATCACATAGTAAGGCAGTTTTCAAGTCAACAGAAGAACAAACTGACTACAACCCACGCCCATAACTGAACAGCCTGCCTGTGTGGTGCTACGTTCTCCATTACTACAGGGTTCAAGTAATAAGCCTCATCCATTAGAAGAGATTGGTGATGAACGAAAAGTTAGAAGAAATGCTCTCTAATCACATTTAAATGAAATCTCTGTTTGCTTAAGATTTCTTCTAAAATGCTGTGGAGATTAAGTCAGTCCTGTAAGTGTGGAGGTTAAGCCTGACGCTGCCTAGCACAGTGTCTGCGCACAAATGCCAGCGATACACTGCTGTCGGTACTGCTACTAAATATCCCTAAGTCTAACATTCCACGTTAGTCTAAAAAGTACATTTCTATACCTGAGTTAAATAGATACAATGAAACTTGGCACTATAAGAAATCATAAAGATGATTTAATTTGGGTTGGCCATTCAGTGCAATGATTTTTCTTTTTTCTTTTTGGTTTAAGCCCTATATATGGGGAGCTGGATTTCATATGGCTGACCACAGTTCAAATCCAGACCCTGGCAGCTTGAAACACTAGGGGTGTGTGTATATGTGTATGTGTGTGTGTGTGTGTGTGTGTGTGTGTATGCACGTGCCCAAAATCTTAAGATGGAAAAATTGAAGAGAAAGGATCGCGGCATGATCACACTCTACTGGGAAGACCCCCCCCCCCAATATCTCCCTCATGAATGCATACCCACATACCCTCTGGCAATTAAACAGAAATTATTTAATCTTTCCACTCACTCAGTTAGAAAATGACAGACCAAATAGGTTACTCTTTACAGCTTGGCAAAAATAGTAAAACCCAAACTCACATCTCTTGATTTCTAAAGACCAGTACCTTTTTACTGAATCAGACCAATTAACTTCCATACAGAGCACGAGAAATAGCCATCCACAGCTATATTATATTGAGTTGTCACAAAAAGTCATGATGCAATTTTGCATAGAAAAACACAGCAAAATACGTCACGACTTTCCCAATGACCCGATCGTTCATATTAAAGATATGTGACATCTGGGGTCAGCTCTGTGGCACGCAGGTAATGTGCTGGTCTAGAGGAACTGGGTCCCACAGGTCAGGTCCGCACCCTGAGGTCTCCCTGCGTATTCTGGGCACATATGCCCACGATTCTATAGCTGGCTCAGGCAGGGTCGAGGCTAGAAAATCCTGTTGGGGGGGGGGGGCGTCGTTTTCTGTCTCCCTCTCTCACAGAAGATATCAATAAACTTAAGAAAATTTTTAAAAAGATTATACTACACACACATACAAAAAAAAAATCCTGAAAAACAAATAAGTAAAAAAAAAAAGAAGTGAATCTCACCCTATAGAGGTTATGATCTAATAAGGGACTGGTGAACCAAGTTAATAACTTTAATGCAGAGTGTCATGGGCAATGCGGAGGTTCTGTTCAAGGAACTCTTGAGGCCCAGAGATGGGAATGTCCCAATCTGGCAAAGGGGAAGCCCCTAGTAGAGAATTATTTTAATACTGACAGTTTACAGTAAACATGGGAGAAATGCTCCAAGACACAAAAGGTAACTTTTCAACTGACCTTAAGGTACGAAAAAATGGCGACAGGTCTAAAATTTTAAGAACTTTGAAAACTTTATGAATCAGAGATAACCAGAATAAAAGATAATCTAAAACTGGTACAAATAGCTTATGTATGCTTCTTTTCATCCTAGGGATAACCCTGATCTTCACACTCAGGGCGTAAGTTTTATTTTACTGCATAGTCAGTCACACTGACTGAGCGACTCATCAGTGAGAACACCAACCTCCACCCCTCGTGGAAACATACAAAGATGCTTACTCTTCCCGCTTTACTTCACTTCCAGGGAGGATCTTCACGTAGGATTTGGGAAACCATCCTCTTCCTCCATGTACCTCCCCAAACCACCAATTTTCTTGCTGCTCCAAGACAGTAATAATATCATGCTTTGAGAAGTTCAAGTGGTTATCTTTCTTTGCAGTCCAGGAACAAAGGGCCTGGGCTTTCAGGTTCTCTACGACCTGTCCCTGTGAACACAAAACCATCATGTATTTTAAAGAGACAATTTCTGTCTCCTAGTGTATAACATGCTTACTGTTCAGGTTACAGGCCAGTTTGTGTGGAGGAGGCTTAAGATAAACTTAATCTTCTGACTTAAAATGATTTAAGACTATCATAGAAGTAGACTTCTTTTAAGTTAAAGACAGCCATTCAAGGAAACTTCACCTCCAATATGGGAGGTAAATAGTGGAGAAACTCTAGAAAATATTCATGAATCCATCAAATATATATCATGGAACAAAAAAAAAAATAAGGAAAAGAATTCCTCTGCTCTCCTCCACCTTCCATTGTCACCTAACTACAGTTGATTCTGTTTATTCTGCTAGGAATGCGCAAGCGTTTCATGCCCAACTACCCTTAACTCTTCTGCTTCCTCTTACCTTCTTTGTATTCTCATTCATTCTTTCTTTCCCTCCCATCTCAGAGATGAAGTGTTTTCATTATCTTAATAGGCTAATGCTTGGACCTGCCTGAAGCACAGTGGTTAAGGGACCAGATGTGATGTAGCAGTTTCAGTCTCTATCCAAGCCATGGTGACATGAGTAAGTAATGTCAACCCCAGAGAGCAAAGGCATCCTCACTAATTACTTCCTGCAGAAGTGGACTGTTGTAAGAGCAAGTAGGCTGTTCACAGGTCTCTGCACATGCCTGCCTTCCTGTCTGCTTCTCTTGGCCCCATTATAATACAGTACCAGAGGCTGGCCAGGAGCTGGCCCTATGCTCTTGGACTTTGCAGCCAATAGAATCATGAGCCAAATAAACCATTTTTTTTTTTAGAGGTGTTTGCTATAGGGCGCGTGCGCTCGCCAGACAGAGAGAGAGAGAGACATAGAGACAGAAAGCGAGAAATCACCCCCCAGAGGGGATGGTCACGCCGCAATCCCTTCTCCTCCATTCTCCTCTCGGGATCTTGGGCACATAGGCACATGTGCCCGGCATGAGTTTTAAGCCACCGGGTCTGGGACTCAAACCGCGGTCAACTACATGGGAGTCCAGCGACATAGCCATTACAGTAACTGCTGGCCCCATAAACCTCTTTTATCAACTGCCCAAGCTCAGATATTTCTGTTAATAGCAACACAATGAATTAAAGACACCAATATATCTCATTAAGTATATACAAATATTCTGTAACTCAAAAAAATCCGAAATCCAAAATATTTCTAGTCCCAAACACTTCAGAAAAGGTACACTCAACCTATATACATATTACCTCTCTCTCTCTCTCTCTCTCTCTTTTTTTTTTTGCTATAGGGCACGTGTGCTCGCCAGACAGAGAGAGACAGAGAGACAGAAAGCGAGAAATCACTCCCCAGGGGGGATGGTCACGCCGCAATCCCTTCTCCTCCATTCTCCTCTCGGGATCTTGGGCACACACACACACGTGCCCAGCGTGAGTTTAAGCCACCGGGTCCTGGACTTGAACCGCGGTCGACTACGTGGTAGTGCAGCGACATAGCCATTACGCTAACTGCTGGTCCCCATATTACCACTCTCTTAAAAACCTTCAGAGACTTTCCACTACCAAGTTGCTTAGCATGCTATTAAAGGTTTCACAGATATACCTTAACTTTTGTAACTTCCCTTTTTAACACTCTCTCCATCCTGCACTCTGTAATTAATTCTCATTTCCTAAAACACCTTGCATTAGCATGTTCAGTGACTTCAAGTTGTTCCTCATTGGAATAATTTCCATCTCCACTTGGTAAAATCCTGTTTGTTTTTAAAAGTCCTGCTCAAATACTTTGCCCTTGGTGAAGGCTCCTCCAATTCTTACAGATTGGATAAGATGCTCTCTCCACTGCATATGCCCTTCAGGACTTTACAGATCTCTCATTATAACATTTTTCACATTTTAAAGTGATTGATGGCAGGGATACTTATTTTTCTTAACTTTTAAATAAGAATCAAGAGCAAAATTTAAAGAATAAAGCACATAAAAATTATGGACAACATACCTGTCCATGAATAGGCGACACAGATCCAGGTGACACAGTGCGAGTAAAAGCTGATTTTTTCTGCCATGATGTATTAACAGTTAGGTTAGAAAGAGATACATTTTGATACTCAGTCACTGATGCTGGTTGAGTTGAAGAAAGTGGTCTGCAAATATAATACTTTGGAATAAATATACCTCATTGTTTATACATTGTTAACCTAACTACTACCAATTTATCAACTTGTATACTGCATTATATTCACTGTGTTTAAACACCATCTATGGGGAAGAAAAGAACTCATGAGCAAACTATTAACCTATGTTTTATTACTAAATTTCAGCATTAAATTTGGAACAAAAGTTACTCTTGGAGAATCTAGCTCAGATTATAATACAGATGAAGTAGCAGGCTGACATAACTACATTCTAGATATTAATACTTATAAATTTACAAAGCTCTGTAAACTCCACTGCTAGCTAAATACTTACTCAGAAGAAGTTGAGGTAGCGGACACAGATACTGTAGGGGGAAGTAAGGCCTTCTTAGGAGACAAAGCTTTTGCATTTGATGGCATCTTTTCTACATAATTGCATGGAAACCAGCCAAAATGTCCTTGAAAACTACCATAAAGCCAACCAGGTTCTCCTATGGTTTTTTCATCAACCTATGGAAATAAAAAGAAAGGTTAATAGTGCTTAGAAACCCACATGTTTATATTGGAAAAGAGATGCAGATTATTGCGCAGAACTCTCATGTTCAGAATTAAGCTCATCTAACTATAAACAACAGCCAGGGCATTTTCTGCAAATGAATAGGTTACTATTTCTAGTGACTGACAAACTGTCTTTCTGAATTCAAATTTTCAATTTTACTCAAGTTAATAAATTAGTTTACAAGGTCAAATAGCATTATACACAGCTTATGATGGGAAATACTTTTCTCCTACACCATCAGACCCTTATTGCCCTGATTTCTACTCCTAACAGTAATCTGCCTTTCTGAGTGGTTACTTCTTCCATATTCCTAAACCACATATTGATATTGCTATTTTTTTAATCTTATCAATTTTATACATTACCTACTAGCATTCGGTTATGGAAATGAAGATTTCCCTCCCTCTCGCAGTATCCTCTGTACTACCAATATTGTTGTATCATAATTTTTGGCTAGATTATATTTAATATTCATATTATTTGTGACCATGTAAATATTTCACATTGAATTATATAGTGTTCTGCTGATTACATTTCCCTTCTCATAAACTTTTCATTTTCCTATAGTTAATCTTTTTTTTTTTTGGTTTAGTTTTTTTGCTGTTCCTATTAGGGAGTCTTCTTGCGCTCTCTAACAGAATTATAAAAGCTTTGGTGGGGACCAGCAGATGGCGTAATGGCTACGTCGCTGGACTCCCATGTAGTTCACCATGGTTCAAGTCCCAGACCCAGTAGCTTAGACTTACGCTGGGAGCGTGTGCATGCGTGCCCAGGACCCTGAGAGGAGACGGGAGGAGAAGGGATTGTGGCATGGCCATCCCCCGGGGGCGGGGGGGTGACTTCTCACTTTCTCTCTCTCTGTCCTTCTGGCAAGCGCATGTGCCCTACAGCAAAAACCTCTTAAAAAAAAGAAAAAAAGAAATTTTTTTTTCTACCCTATGACCTCCTCCAGTGTCTCTTCTGCATCTTGGTCCTTGTTCCTTAAACACTGATGACATCTCAAGTTTTATCACTGCCTCAGTGATTTCTTGCCTCGTGCTATACGCTTCCTAAATAGACCCAGAGACTCCTATAGTTTCATCAGTTCTCAGTGCAATAATGAAGCCAAAAGCTCTATCCTCGGAACAAACTTCTGTCCAAAGGTGCAAACCTATACTTTCAACTACTTGCAAGATTTCTCCAACTAGATGTCCTACAGAAATTAGTTTCTGTGCTTTACTACATGTAATTTATACTTTTATTAGGGAATTTTTTTTTTTTTTAAAAGAAAAACCTTCTTTTTTTTTATTTGCTAGAGGGCATGTGTGCTCACTGGAGACAGGGAGAGGGAGAGAGGGAGGGGGAGAGAGAGAAAGCACTCTTCATATGGAATGGTCACACTGCAATACTGCAATCTTTTTTCCTCCATTTCTCCCTCCTTTCAGGATTTTGAGCACACATGCACAAGTGCCTGACATGTTTCTCAAGCCACTGGGTCTGGGTCTTAAACCGCCTGGGGGCCCCATAAAATCGGGCTGCCTTAGCCACCAAGCAACTGAGCCTGTCCCCTTCGCCTTTCAAAGTTATATTCTTTCAGAGTTTTATATATTCATTGTCTCCTGTTCCCTTCTGTGTTACTCCTAACTCACTGAAATCTCACTTCTTGCTCCACCACCCCACTCAACTGATACTATTCTCCTAGCGATGAAAGAGTCTGTGCTGCTGCTAATTCCACGAACTCTTTTCAGTCCTTGCTTCATTTCACACGAGGACCACGCTTCTCAGTGTTCTCTAACACTAAACTCTCCTGTTCGTTTTTCTTCTACGCTAGTCACTCCTTTTGAGGCTCCCCTTCCTCTAATAATGCCCTCAGTGTCCATGTCTATCAGGGACTATCACCTTCGATCTCCTCTCTCACTTGACTACGCCCCTGGGTGAGCTCCACCACTCTCAGGTCCTCAGTTACTGTCACAACATATGGGACATCCACATTTGCACCCTCTGCCCAGATGTCTGCCTGAGAGCTCTCGAGATATTTCTAGATATCCAACTGCTGCATGGACATCTGAAAGTCACCCAAAATAGAACTGTCATTTCCCCTTCAATTTCCTCCCTCTGATTTTCCTCTCAGTGAATGATACCATTATCAACTAAGAGTTACTAATAGACACCTATTCATCAATCAAGAGTTGATTTAAACAAGTAACTGGTGGTAACTCATGACACATTTATTTGTTTTTATCTTTTGGGAGTCCTGAACCCAGTGGTTTGAAAAACACACTGGGGATATATGCATGTGTGCCTAAAATTCCTAGAGGAGAATAAAGAAGGGACTGCAGTGAGGCCACCCCCATGGGGAGATTTCTCACTTTCTCTTTCTCTCTCTGGCAAGCACGTGAGCCCTATAACAAACACCTCCCCCCAAAGAAAGCAGAGACCGTCTTACTCACTATATCCCTAAACTAATATAGGCAACCCTCAACAAACATTTGTTGTAGGAAAAAAAGATATAACCCAAAATATAGCCAGGTTCTTGACAAAACATGCCCAGAGAGAGGCTACATCTCTCCATCCTCAATCACTACGCATCATCACCAAGTCACAGGGAATGTGAGTCCCCCCCCCACGTGGACTTGAGCGGCTGTAAAGCAGGCTTCTCTCTCAGCTTGTGAGCAGCGAGGGCACAGACAGTGGTGGCGATGGCAACATGAGGAATGCACATTTGGGGATTATCTTGGGTGCATGAGCTCTGGTATCAAATATCATTAAACATTTGCTAGGGGGACCAGCAGTTAGCGTAATGGCTATGTTGCTGGACTCCCATGTAATCAACCGTGGTTCACGTCCCGGACCCAGTGGCTTAAAACTCACGCTGGGCACATGTGCGTGCGTGCCCAAGATCCCAAGAGGAGAATGGAGGAGAAGAGACTGGTGTGGCCATCCCCCCTGGGGGGTGATTTCTCGCTTTCTGTCTCTCTGTCTCTCTCTGTCTGGTGAGCGCACATGCCCTATAGCAAAAACCTCTTCAAAAAAATACAAAACAAAAACAAACATTTGCTAGGTAACTAATAAGAGACAACAAACTGGTTACAGTGTTGGGAAAAAAGACACACTGGCTAGGTACTCTGGGTAATTTTACCTTAGTTTACTGAGAAAACTGAAGCAGAAACTAAAATCCATCTGTTGCTTCTAAAGCCCATACAGTTTCCATTACATCACACTGGCTCTATCCAACACTTGTCCCTGCATCTTCTTTCATGCATCCATTTTATCTGAATGGTGATAATACAAAAAGACTTTTTGTTCCAAGGAACAAACAGCCTGTATCCAGATATGACGAAACCCAACTCCTTCAACTCTGTCAGCAATGGGCAGAAAGTAAGCAGCCCCTTGCCCCCAAACTGTACCGTTAACTTACTACAGTAACGAAGTCAGTATCATCTTTGCCGATCGGCATCAGTGTCACATGGTGAAAGTAAGCAGCCCCTTGCTCCCAAACTGTACCGTTAACTTATTACAGTAACGAAATCAGTATCATCTTTGCCGATCGGCATCAGTGTCACATGGTGAAAGTAAGCAGCCCCTTGCTCCCAAACTGTACCGTTAACTTATTACAGTAATGAAATCAGTATCATCTTTGACGATCGGCATCAGTGTTACATGGTGAAAAAAGAACAATGGATTTGGAAACCCAAAGACAGCCATTCACATTCCACAGTGGCATTGTGATGCCGGCCGTTACAACCTGCTTCCTTGCGTGGAGTACAACAGTAGCAATAAAAAATGTCTTATGCGGCTTTGAGGTATGTTGGAAGGGCCAAATAAGACCTGCTAAGAATTGTTTAAGAAATATTTTAAATATTTTAAAAAGGTAAATAAGTATGCATATATATATACACACACACACAGTTATAGAAAATAATAGATTACAATATATTCAGTTTATTAATGAGAAAAAAAAAGACTTCATTTCCTACCTGAATTATATCCCCAGAATTAAAACTCATTTCATCATGGTTCCTCGCTTCGAAGGGGTATAACGCTCTGTAACTTGCCAAAGCACTAGTTGTCTCACCTAAAGGGAAGGTAACCGTCATTACTTGCTACTTCTGTGTATATACACCTTTGCTGCGGCTCATCAGAGCTCTTAAATCTAAAAGAAACAATTGAGCACCAAATACAATGAAAATCCATTTGACATGAGTTTGTTAGGATTTCGGTATCTCAACTAGACACGTAATCAGTAGAAAGCAGTGAGGACTGCCCGTCAGTACCTAAGACAGGAGGCAGGAAAACACAGGCAAGACGTGCAGTGCAGGCTGAGGCACGCCCACGGACCTAGGGGGGTGTGGGAGTGGCAGCCAGGCTTAGCTGTACGCGAGGAAGGACTTGGTTTCACTTGTGGAGATAAAAATCTGAACAGGGAAGAAAAGCACAAAGAGGGCGGTCGCAAATGGGAAGGTCAGCCCGTGAGCAGGTTGGGTGAAGAAAGATCTGTAGGGTTACTGGGACAGTGGTAAAAACAGCAATGTACTGGACTTGATAAGATGAAAAATATTTTACTTCGCACACTTTTAGAGCAAATGTTTTAGCTTATAAAATTTTCAACATGTTATCTTTAAATGGATTCAAAGCTTTATGCATCCAAAAGAGACACAGTAATACTTAAAAGAGTATTTTAGAAATAGACCCTGAGGTGTACCAAAAACAAGGTATACCTTCTAAGAAAATTTCAATGTACAGAGACTTAAAATTTTATTATTTCATTAAAACAAATAGCTTAGTTACACTAGTTGAATAAAATATTTATGACATAGTGGTTGAGGCATAGGACTCCCATGTGGCTGATCATGGATCAGGCCCCAGACCTGGCGGCTTGTAAATCACACCGGGCACGTGTGCATGCATGCTCAAAATCCCAGGAGGAGAATGGACGGGTAGGGACTGCAGCACAGCCATCCCCCCGGAAGGTGGTTTCTCACTTTCCTTCTTGGTGTCTCTCTCCAGCAAGTGCACGTGCCCTATGGCAAAAACCTTAAAAACCCACCAACCAACCACTTATTTCAATGATGAAAACTGAAGGCCAAGCCAGGATCTTTTCGCAGTTAGTGATGACTAGTTCTTTTCTCCTATTGCGATTTCTACCTCTGTCTGTTTAGTAAGTACATATGCTTCTCATTCAAGCCTAATTTAGGAAATACCCAAAAAAAAGAGAAAATTCTGACGCTAAGATTATCACCTTTCTGTTTTAATTTCTCTTTCTTTTTTTTTTTTTTTTTCCCTCTTAGTAGGTCCTATTATTTTCTTGGTGTTTTTGTTGCTGCATCTCAGAAAAATCTAATCTATTCTTTTCATCCATTTCCTTACATTGTTTCTCCTCAGCTTTCCGTTCCTCTTCTTGAATTTTTTCTTGTGTTTTCTCTTCCTGGAGTCGCTTTTGTTTTTCTTCTTCTTCTTTTCTAAGACTTTCTTTCCATAAATTTTCTTTTCCTTGCTTTGCTTTCCTTCACATAAAAGAGAAAGAGTTTGCAAAATGTACTAAAAAGTTTTGTGCCAAATAAAAATACAGTAGAAGATCTGTTTTTTGTGAAGTTGAAAAGCTAGCAAAAAGGATAAGGAGAAATAGTAGGAATCAAGGATGAAGGGGGAAACCAGTCAGTCCGTCAATCAATCAATCAATCAAATGATGGATCTTGGACTAATGGATGAGCTGGGAGCTACAACTTAGAACTTCAAATTCTCTCCTGTCAGTCAACATCTTAAATTCCCCTCCCCCCAAGAAAAAGAGAAAAAAAGTAAAATGGAATCATTTAAAACAAATCTAAAAATTGTATCTAAATTTCCTTCTTTTCTTTCCAGATTACTCATGAGGACTACCTTCCAGTTTTATTCCCACTATTCTATGTAATCTCTGTATTTGGATTTCAGTCACTGCTGTGGAAATAGACAATGATTCTAAAAAGATTCTCTACTTTTTTATAATATCACTTTGAGATAAGTTGGTTTTTTTTGGTTTGTTTGTTTTATATTTTTGCTATAGGGCACGTGTGCTTGCGGAAGAGATAGTGAGACAGAGAGAAAAAAAGCGAGAAATCACTCGCCAGGGAGAGTGACCATACTGCAATCTCTTCTCCTCCATTCTCCTCTTGGGATTTTGGGCACACACGCCCAGCAGTGTGTGTGTGCCAGTTTTAAGCCTCCGGGTTCTGGACTCAAACCACAATCTACTACGTGGAAGTCCAGCAGTGTAACCATTATGCTGCGTGCCGGTCCCTCATTAAGTCTTTTTCATCCACTTAGATAATAGAGCATTTCTTCTGTATGGGTTCATACTTCTGTATCTGTTTCTATGATAGCTTACAGCAGTTACGATTTAGTTTCTAGCCAGTGAAGATGATCTGCGATCAGAATTATCTCAGTATTAGAACCAGCGCACATTACAGTTCTCCCTTGTCTGTGCTTTTATGACCTTATGCAGAGGCAGAGATGCCAACACTAAAGTTAGCACCTGCACTAAGCCTCAGCATTACTGGAGCAATGGAGATTATGGCTCGTCACATCCCTGGGGCTTAGAAGCATTGATAACCCACCAAAGTGGGAACCTTGGCTTAATTCTGTGTTTCTATTCCTTAACTGCTAGAGGTTTTGGAATGTTGGATAGTTAAAAACAAACAAAAGGAACGGTTGGCAGGTGGCATGGTGTCTAAGGCGCTGGACTCCCACATGGTTGACTGCGGTTTAAGTACCGGACCTGGTAGTTTTTTCTCACTCTCGCTCCCTCCCTGTCTCTCTCTCTGGCCAAATTGAAGAATAATAACAAACAAAGTTAAATAAATAATTCTTTAAAAACAAACAAAAGGACCAACAGGTGTCATGTGATTATAGTGCTGAACTCCCACATGGCCAACTGGTGGTTTGAAACTCACACCGGGTGCGTGTGTGTATGTGCCCATGATCCCAAGAGAAAAATGGAGGAGAAGGGATTGTGACATGGCCTTTGGATTAATTTCTCCCTTTGTCTCCCTCTCTCTCTCTCTCTGTTTCCGGTAAACACATGCACCCTATAGCAAAAATCCCTCTTAAAAAACAAAACAAAAATCTATACACCCTTAGTCACTAGTCCTTTCTCTTCCTCCCTGAACTGTTTTATACTTCCTATTCCTGGTTCTTATCTCATTACTAGTTCCCTTTCAACCCTTTCTAAAGTCTCCTGTATACTCTATCCCATCAGAATTCTTCTTCCAGCAGCTTTCTGTAACTAAAGGCAGATTTTCTTTTGAAGCCAATGTTTCTCTTGAAATTCTTACTTGATTTCAACTAATATTACCTTTTCAGTTCATCTGTAAGTTTCCCTATCTCCCAGGACTAAGCTGACCCAATTAGCATTCATCTGAATTCTCATAGCATATAAACACCACCACTAGAGTAGCTTAAAAAAAACAGAGACATCATTAAATTCCAATAAACTCTTATGCAAAAATAAGTGGATGAGAAACACAACCAGTGCCGTAAAGTACCTCAGAAATTAGACTTAGAGAAAATAGGCCACGTCTATTTGAAAACCTATTACCAGGAACTTTGAACAAGAAAGGAATATACCTTAGCAGATGGTCAAATAAACCAAGATGGAAGAATCCAAGACGCTACTCAGATTGATTAAATCATGCACCTGAGTCTAATCCAGAGCCTACCTGCATCACACAGTAGACTGCAGCCACTCAATAAAAATGTGCTGGAAGCAGCTACTGGGTCATCAGAAAACTCATGATGTATTTTTCTGGGCAAAAATGTGTCATGACTTTTCCGATGACCCAGCATTTTAGTCAACAGAAATAAAAGGTCTGGTGGGACTGGCAGATGACATAGTGGTTATGTCATTGGACTCCCAAATGGTTGACCACATTTGGAGTTCTGGATCCAGTGGCTTGAAACTCATGTGAGACATGTGTGCACGTGTGCCCCAAATCCCAGAGGAGAATGGAAAATGGAGCAGAGGGAACTGCGGCATGGAGGGTGATTTCTTGCTTTCTGCCTCTCTTCTCTGGCTCTCCAGCAAGTGCAAAAATCTTTCTTTAAAAAAAAAAAAGAAAGAAAGAAAGAAAGAGAGGCCTGGGGCCAGCAGGTGGCATAGAGGTTAAGGCAACGGACTCCCACCGCTGACCTCAGTTTGAATCCTGGACCTGGAGGCCTGAAACTCATGCTGGGCTCATGTGTATATGTACCCAAAATCCCAAGAGGAGAATGGGGGAGAGGCAATGTGGCAAGGCCATCCCCCCCTAGGGAGTGACTTGATGTCTCTTTTTCTCTCTCTCTCTCTCTCTCTTTCCCTCTCTCTCTTTGGTGAATGCATGTGCCCTATGGCAAAAATCTCTTTAAAAAAGTAGTGACCTGCTAAACGGTAATGTGTCTTTCTTGTCTTCCTAGTAACTACTAGCTCTTCCAGACATCATTATCAACTGTGTGCCAAGGCAAATGGAAATTGCCCCATCGGTATTTCTTAACTAACTATGCCAATTTGTGATACTAAAGAACTTTGGAGAAGCAAGAGTGTATTAGAAAAAAGGTCTTACTGTCAGGAAAAAAAAAATACATTCAGTTTCCAAGCGAATGGCTTTAGGCCTCATATACCATAATTGTCACGTGTCTCCATGCTATAAATGGAGACAACTCACATATCTCACCATTATAAAGGGAACTGCATCAAAATGGCATTCTGCATTTAGTATCACTCTTAAAATTAATAATTTTTTAAAATAATCTTTCAGGAAAAAATCATAGATTTACCATAGAGAGATGAAACTAATTGCCTTACTATGTGCAAGACATTATACTGGGTTGTCAGAAAAGTCATGATGTATTTTTTTCTATGCAAAAATGAATCATGACTTTTCATACAACCCAATACTTGGCTATTTAACTACCTTATTTAATACTCTCAATTACCTATGAAGTATGCATTAATGTCTCTTTTTCCAGATGCAGAAACTGAGGTCAGAAAGGTGAAAAAAGTGACTTAACCAAGAAGTCACCCAGGTAGTGAGAGGAAGATCAAGAATTCTAATCCAGGTCTGACTGCAGGGTCTCTGTACTTCATTAATAAAACATAAAGTTGACTATTGCAAACTTAGTCCCTAAAATGAGTACTGAATTTAGAAATTCATGATCTGATTAGCATCCTAGAATAATCCTTTTATTCTCTTAAATCCTCATAGCTAAACTAAAGATTAGCAACAAAATTAGAATAGTAGTAACATAGTTTAATAAATTAAATGGCTATATTACCTGGCAGCCTCATCTTCTAGCTTCTTTTTCTGTATTAGTTCTAATCTTTTTTTTTCAATTTCCTTCAATTTGTCATGTTTGATCTTATGAAGTTGTTCGAGGGCTAACTGCTGTGTATTGTAGCTTTCTCTGAGTTCCTAAGGAGAAAATAAAAATAAGTCAATACATGAAGGAGATAAATATTTGTGTCTTATGAATAATGAGGCATTTTCATTAAAAGGATAAAAATCGTAAAGTTAAACTAAATTAAAAAGATTTAAAGGCCTAAAAAAACTAGATCATAAAATAAAGTTTTTCAATATAGCAAGTATTTACACTATGTAGCCAATGAGACGAATACATAACCTTCTACTTTTGTATTGATTCATGTCTATAACACAAAGAATCTTTAACAAGCCATTTTTTGTTTATTTTGGTATGTTACTTCAATAAAAAAGCAATTTATTAAAATATGACGGAATAATTTGCTTGTCATATCATTTGAAGAGAAATTTTATTCAGTCATGTGTTTATTGTATGTAATTTAACCAAGTTACCAGTAACTTTCATCCAATAAGACCTGAACTAAACACAGAAGTAAATTAAAATCATTTAGTTTGAAACTAAAAATGAAAAAGGTGACCTGCCTAAAACCATGACTAGCATAGCCAAGTTAATGAGAATTATTCCAAAGAAGAACTGCTTACTTAGTGTCTAGTGTGCAAAGTGCTATAAAGGACCCAAAGAGGATCCAATTCAAGGCTGACTGATTCCCAATTTTGCCTTCAGAGAAATTATAACCTCGAAGTAGAGGAAAATGCTGTGGCAGAAACTTGCGATCATCGGTTCTGTGGCAGAAACTTGCGATCATCAGTTCAGCATTCTCTCTGCCACGTCTAACAGCACTCCTCCTTCCACCTTCCCTTGCTTCCTTCCTTCTTTTGAGAAAATGACCTCCCTGTCCTGCGCCTCATCATCCTACTAGTTTTCATGGGCCTGTTAAACCCATTCCCACCCAGAGGTGATCTTTTTTTCTTTTTTGACCCGAACTATCACGGCACCTCATCTCCCTGCTCAGAATGAATATAGACATGATCCAAGCTGGGCCAACATCCTTTCCTGGGATTCGGATGTGCTGAAGAGAGGAGAAAGCTCATCAAACTGGGGTAAAGCAAGCCTGAATATGCCTCGTTACCAAGTGAGACCATGAGTGGTAGAATGAGGAACATGCAGGAAACAGAGAAGTGAAGATTAGAGGCGAGGTGGAGCAGGAGGTACAGGGGAAGCAGTGCTTCAGTCTCACTGCTCAGTGTCCTAGAAACTGCCCCTGTCTAATGGCTCTTCTGCTGATGCACTTAGTGGTCCTGGTGTTATTCCAACAGCATTCTTTAGCTTAACTTTATTTTTTTTTTTTTTGAGAGGTTTTCGCTATAGAGCGCGTGCACTCGCCAGACAGACAGAGACAGACAGAGACAGAAAGCGAGAAATCACTCCCCAGGGGGGATGGTCACGCCGCAATCCCTTCTCCTCCATTCTCCTCTCAGGATCTTGGGCACACACACACACACACGCCCGGTGTGAGTTTTTTGTTTTTTTGTGGTTTTTTTTTGAGAGGTTTTCGCTATAGGGCGCGTGCACTCGCCAGACAGACAGAGAGAGACAGAAAGCGAGAAATCACCCCCCAGAGGGGATGGTCACACTGCAATCCCTTCTCCTCCATTCTCCTCTCGGGATCTTGGGCACGCATGCACACGCGCCTGGCGTGAGTTCTAAGCCACCGGGTCCGGGACGCGAACCGCGGTCGACTATGTGGGAGTCCAGCGACATAGCCATTACGCTAACTGCTGGTTCCCGAGCCTAACTATTTTGAACTGGATTTCTTTCACTTGGAGTCTAAAAAGTCCTGAACAAGAGTGTTAAAAAAAAAAAATGCTGGAAAAAACAAGGGGATGAAGAGATCTACAGTAATCGAAAGAAGCTTTGTGGCAAAGGTGAGAACAAGTGGCCAACCCTGGGTGTAGATTTCTCGCTTTCTGTCTCTGTCTCTGTCTGTCTTTCTGGCAAGCACATGCACCCTACAGGAAAAACCTCTCAAAAAAAACAAAAAACCAAAAACCCAAAAAACATTACTTTTGAGATGGGGGTCCAGGGACTTCACCAGACAGAGTCCATGGCATTGAAAGGCTCAGCTTTAAAAACCAGGATTTATAGCCCATGCCTCCCAATAGCTCTAGATCTGCACCTCCAGCTACTACACTCCACATTGGTGAAAAGAGGTTCCAAAGGCAGACCTGAGAGTCTCTGAAAGAAGGATGGGGACCCTGCCTTAATCCTTACATTATGAGTCTGGAAAATGTTTTCTCTAACATCTAGAACACAGCTCATTCAAATTTTCACTTATTATCTAAAGAAGTAGAGTCCTTTCTCCTCAAATTAGTTAACTTTACTGTTACCTGAATTTAAAAAACCTCACCTTGGCACCTGGAGTGCTAATGCTAGTAGGTTACCCTGACCCTCGGGAACACAGGGTAAGACCTCAGCCCCTGGGGAAACCACAACCCTGGTGTTGCCATATTTCAGTTTCCCACTAAAGAAAAGCACTTCCTCGGTCACTATCCAAAGTCAACAGTGGTGACTTTCCAATATTAAGATATTTTGGAGATTCTGCATAATCCACTCTAGTAAGAATGACAAAAATACTTGTACAGTAGAGTTCACAAAGGACTTGTGTATAAAAGCTGTCTTATTTAATCATCCCAAGACTGCAGAGAAGATAGGACAGATACTGTCAGCTTCATTTTATAAATGAAGAAAGCAACATTTCGAGAGTAAATGACAAATAGTTGCCCTTATCCTGTCCTCAAACCCCTCCACTCTTGGAAACTTCCTCTTTGTGACTGGGGGAAACCCCCAACGGCCCCTTATCACTCAGAATGGGAACTCCCTTATCTCCCTGCCTTCTTGGCTGATCTCTCAGGACACGTGTGTCCTCTGGTTTTCTCAGTTTATCATCATACAGACATTTACATAAAAGTCAAGGTAATATTTTCCTTGTCCTTCGAAGCCATTTCCAGACCATTACTTACTCACTCTTACAATCTCCATGCTTTTCTGAGGTTCAGATCATCCAACAATACCACCTTCTCTTTCTATTGTCCCTATTGTCACCTGGTCACTGATCTTCACTCATTCATCCTTATGATTAATTAAGTCTTCGACATCCACAGAGATGACCCAGTCTGAACCTCAACTCCCAGGATGATGTCCCTTTTATATTCCACTTAATCTACTGTGTCTATTTTTATACTGTGAGTCTTGTCATCAACAGAAACACTGATACCACTGATCAAATATCCCATTCTTCAAACATAAGTTCTTACCCTTGGAGTTTTATATGGCCATTTTGATAGGAATCCTCCCACGTGGGACCGCATTGCAGAGCATCGCATTTACTGCTGCACCAGTCTGGTCCCTTTATCATAATTCTTGTGTGAAGATCTGTAACTCTTTTGTCCCTTTCTGTTTGCCCGTGTCTGTTAAAATCCCCAGTCTGTATGAACCTGTGAACCTATTTCACCAGCCGTCTTTGTGCTTACACGTAAGTTGCTGACTCTTGGTGGAGGAAAGCTATACACTTCGATTCCATTTAAATTCATGATCTCCAACAGACATGCAAGATTGCTCAGCACATCTATTTTCTGTTACTAAACTTGCATTTCCTCATCCCACTGAGATGTCTGTTTCTGTCTACTTCTCTCTCCTGAAATTTCCAAATCTCCCATCCATTTTCTTTGCTATCTCATAGCCTTGCACTGTAAAGCCATCAGACCAAAGCACCCTCATCTTTCTATCTCAACATCAATAAAAAGTTTTCTTGTGAAGGTCCAGCTTACTTTCTAATTCTTAAAATTGACAGCTTCCTAGCTTCCACTAACAAATGTAGCTGCACTCACATTCACCTTTCCTCCATATGTTACACTGGAAGTATTCTTTGTACCTAATCCTTTAATCTATGCTCTGGATTCTGTCTTAATCTGCTTCCCTAGGATTCTGCTCTATCAATTACTACCTCCTTATATAAAATTCAATCTCAATCAATTTGAGATTAAATTTAATGTCTCTTTCCTCTCTTTAATGTCTCCTTTAAATCTTTCTTAAACCACATGCTATCTTCTTACTCTCCGCCTATGAGTTGTTCATACTCTCTTAACCCTTCTCAACTCCCATTCACTTCTGACCTACTGCAGGGCCAGCAGGTCGTGTGGTGGTTGAGGTACTGGGCTTCCCACATGGCCGACCATGGTTTGAGTCCTAAACCTGGCAGCTTGCTTTCTGACTTTCCTTATCTCTCTCTGACCAAATTAAAAATAATGATAAATATGGAGACCAGCAGTTGGCATAATGGCTACGTCGATGGACTCCCATGTAGTCAACCGTGGTTTGAGTCCTGGACCTGGTGGCTTAAACTCATGCTGGACGCATGTGCGTGCGTGCCCGAGATCCCAAGAGGAGAATGGAAAAAGGATTGTGGCATGGCCATCCCCCCTGGGGGGTGATTTCTCGCCTTCTGTCTCTCTCTGTCTTTCTGGTGAGTGCACGCACACTATAGCAAAAACCTCTAAAAAATGATAAATAAAATTAAAACATTTCTAACCCACTGCAATCCAGCTCCTGCTTATCACTCAACAAGGTCTTCTAAGGCCTCCTTGTTGACAAAGTCAGTGAATATTTTTCAGTACTATGAACTGATTACTCTGCATCATTTCACAATGATGGCCTCTTGTTTTCTGTGACAACATAGTCAATCTTGTTACTCTGACAGCATAGGTTTCATATCCCCTTTAGTTTCTTAAACTTCTTGTGATTAAAGCATTAAAAAGCAGTAGAAGACTGGTAAGCAAGCAGCAGAAGGAATAAAGTAAAACAGGAGACAAGAATAATCTGCTGGCCTGTGGAGAATCAAATGCTAACTGCTCAGAGTCAGAACATTTGTGTGAGTACAGTCCTTAAATAGTCACTGAACCTTTTACAGATGAAGAAACTGAGGTTTACGTTTCTGTGCAAGCTTTTCTAAGACCAGCCGCCCTGATGACGATAACCATAAAAGCTAAAATATGAAACCTCTGCTGCTACTATCTTTCCAGTTTGCCTCACCTTTGCCTAGGTGCTGAAAGAGCATTATTCATCATGATTCACTGTGGAGTATATATACAACCACCTTATCATCATCCATTCTAGAACCACGTAGAATGGGTAGAAAAAATTGATGGGGTGGCGGGAGCAGCAGATGGTGTAGTGGTTATGTAACTGGACTCCCGCATGATCAACAACTGTAGTTTGAATCCTGGATCCATTGGCTTGAAAAGGCTGGGTGCATGTGTGTGCCTGCCCAAGATTCCAGGAGGAGAATGGAACAGAAGAGATTATGGCATGGCCATCCCCCGAGGGGTAACTTCTCACTTGTCTTCTCACTGTCTCTGTTTCTCTCTTTCTCTATAAGCACACATACCCTATGGCAAAAACCTCTTTAAAAATTTTACTAGACTTATCAAGTGACAAATATAAAGCACCTTTCTTTAAACAAATAGAAATTTATTTAGTATATTAAATAGTCTGTGCTATATATGGCAAGGAGAACTATTTATTTATATACATAAGCTGAACATTTTTATCTGAAATGCAAATATCTCTAAACATAGGCCTGGTAGCTAGACCTAACTAAAGGTGCCCCTGCATTACTGGTGCCTCCGAAACAGCCTGGTGTATACAAGATGAACTTGCCACAGATTTCAGAAGGTGTAAGTTTTATTTTGAAAAATCCATTTTAAGTGATAGAGGTAAATGATTTAATTTCATACTCCCTTAGTTTTCTTTGGAATTGATTAGTAATCATATCATCAGTTAATCTAATCCACAGAGATATTATAAAAGAACTGGTTATTTTGTCTAAGTACCTTTGGGCTCCTCATGAGAAAATTACTGTGGTCACCTTACTGATTTTTGGCATTAGATTCAAACAGGCAATTAGACAGCAGAAGGATATTCAAGCAAGCAGAAAGAAAAAAGGTCTATATTGCATATGTTATTTCAAATAAAAGTACTCAGATAAAGGCAAAGAATAGTCTAGTTAAAAAAAAAAAAAAAGACAGAGAACAGTAAAGTAAATCAAAGAAAAGGAACTAGATATTAGAAAATAACCTTAAGTAAGAGGAAGAGGTTGTTGAGACAGCTTAGCAGAGACAAAAGGCACTGAAGAACAGAGTCATCCAAACTCCCACACTGTAAGATAAGGCAGATAAAAAGCCAATTAAACTATGTACAGATGTTTACAAAACAATAATGTGGGGAGGAAAACCGAGCTGGTTTGTCCAACCATTGATGAATTATTCAGTTTCCTTCAAAATTTTTTTTTCCTACAGACTATATGCTTGGGTAAAATGTAGCATTACCGTTATTGCCTCATCTTCCCTCACCTGAAACCACCATGGCATGGCATCTTATGGTGTTTATAGCTGATGTTAATGTTGTTCTAAATAAGACAGCAAGACAAAAGCCTTATGAAAAGATAGCTTTTGTATTTCTTATAGAAAAGCTATATGACATTTTATGCTCTGAAAACTTTATGCTCATTATCAAAGGAATATGAAGAGTATTCAAAAACTGGGATTATGTGTCATGAGTTTGGTTTTTGCTTTTATTACCTCCTCCGTAGGTACGACTTCAATCTACAATGACTACTGTACAGAATAACAAGGGCATGCTCTGTCTTCTGGACATCTGCCCTCCACTGCAATAAACAGTAAGTAATCAGCTTACTATTTCATGCAAGATTTACAGTGCCAGATTATGCTTTGGGTTTCACTAATTATTGCATTATTTCACAAAGGTTAATAGAATTACATTGTGATGGAGAAACAAAAAGGATTGAGTGTGTTAAAAGAGCCTCTACCATGGGACTACTTTAAATTTTCTGTAATCCCAGTTTCGAATGTTGCCCAGGTCATGTTAGCTAAGATCATTTCTATAATACCTACAAAAGCAATTCTTCAAATGTACAGATGCCAATTAAACAGTATATTGTTGTCAAAAACTGGAAACTGTGGCAAATGACATGTTTAGCTATATGACACATAATTAAATCATATTTACGGAAGACATTGAAAGCAATATTGTAATTCTGGTATAGCTGAAATTACAAAATACATATGGAAAATGTAATGCATGTAATAATAATAGCTTTAGTTATTCATCCCATTACATTAAAATAAGGAAAGAAATAGTTACCTAAAAATGAATATAATGAGGGATAAATACCTTTAGTTGATTATTAAATGAATCCATTTCTGATAGTTTAGATGCAGTTTCTTTTTCAAGAGCATCTAATTGTTCTTTAAGTCTTTGGCATAATTCTTCCTTTTCTAATGATTTTTTATGAAGTAAACTAATCCCTGAATCTAAAACACAAACATCAGACAGTTCATAATTAGTAGAAACTTCTATGTTATTACCAGTATGTCATTTATATCTGTTCAAATTGTTGTCTCTAGAAAAATATAAAGTATGTGCATGCATACTGTAGACCAGCTGAGAGGAAAAAAATAAGCAGACATGCCCCCTTCCAAGATCATGACCTGGAAAGATTCTCAGAGGAAATGGTTGTAAGCATTGGTTCTTTCTGTATTCAAAACGGACAGGACTTGAAGTAAAGCTCCACTTGGGGTAAGATGCTTACTATGGTTTATTCCCCCCAAAGTTCACATGTTAAAATTAGGTTGTGAAGGTATTTGAATAAGACTTACTACCTTCATGATCCAAAAGGTAGAGCCTTTGGGGGTGATTACCAGTTTTACACTCCACATGTAAGTATTTATCTTTCTGTGCCTAACTTATTCCACTGAATAAAACATTCTCCAGGTTCATCCGTGGTATCCCTATGTTTGTCTGCATGCCAGTACCATACTATTTTGATTACTATAGCTTTGTAACGTTTGAAATCAGGAAGTATGATGTCTCCAACTTTTTCTTTCTTAAGATTGCTTTGACTATTTGGAGTCTTTTGTGAATCCAAACACATCTTAGACATTTTTATTTCTGTGAAAAATGCCATTGGCATTCTGATAGGGATGGCATTGAATCTCCGTATTGCTTTGGGAATACAGACATTTTAACAATAATAATTGTTCAGACCCTTAAACATGGCATAACCTTCCATTTATTTGTCTCTTTTCCTATTTCTTTTAATATTTTATAGGTTCCAGAATGAGCTCTGACAAATAAAAATATCAAGAAGGCATCTCATGATGACTACTTATTCTAAGTACTTTTTGTCACTAAAAATCCTCTATAATCTATGATATTTTCCCATTCTTTTGAAACTTCTAAAGTAAAAATGTGTTATTTATAACAGAATAATGCTATTTTAAATAACAATATGGTTGATACAGTTATTCAGAAAATAAGACAAAACAAAACATAGAGACTTACCAGGTGTGCTACTGAACTGCATGTTTTTAATTCTCTCATTTAATAATTGCTTCTCAGGTACCAGATAAATAAGCTTATTTTGATATTCCTTAAAAAAGAAAATGTAGTGCCTGATTAAAACTCTGTAATACCATCTATGAATTTTTTGAAATATTTAAAACATGATATAAGCACTTCTGAAACTTAGTATAAATTTTACATGTAGTTGTAATTGCTTACAACTTATGAATAAACTAGAATGGAATTATGCATGATATAAAAAAAATCAAAGATTTAAACATAAATCCATTTATGAATGACTGGCTGAAATTAAAGACAGTGAAGAAAGCCTTTGTAATTGGGGTATGTCTAGAAGCCTCTAATTTTCGACATGCTGATGAATGACAGTGGCAATGGCCAAGAGCTACCTTTGGTACATGACACAATGGAATGAATATGAGTATATCAAACAGGGACTAAGCACTCAGGCACAACTAGAGAAGTACACTGTCTGTATTTGCTGTGACAAAGTGAAAAGACTGGTCTATTATCAGCCCACGTAGTGAGAGAAAATGGACAAGAAGACTCTAGAGATGCAGATTCCCTACAGATTCCCTATTCTACAAATGGTTAATCACTGAACTGCACTTCCTGCATAAATAAGCAGCAGAATTACCAGGTCCTTGGGAGGATATATTCAACATTCTCACCACGGTTATAAGAACAATAACTATGTGAAAATTTCCTAAACTCAGGGGGTCAGAGCATGGCATAGTGTTAAAGCTCTGTGAGGCTGAACTACATGGGAAGGTTCCAGGTTTGCATCCAGTGACCTCCCTGAACCAGCATGTGTGTGCCCATGATCCAGGGCTGACTGAAACTGGGGGTGGACTGTGGCCCTGAGACGCTGTTGGAGGTCCTATCTCTGTCTCTCTCTTCCTGTTTCTCTTGCTTATGGAAGAAACAAATAAACTTAAAAACTCCAGGGGGCCAGCCAGAGGTATAGTAGTTAAGGAAGCTGGGTTCCAAATGGCTGACTACACAGTTCGAGTTCCAAATCCAGCAGCTTGGAAAACACACTGGACACGTGTGTGCACCCAAAATTCCAAAAAGAGAAATGGAGAAAAAAGGACTATATTGTGACTATCACCCATAAACGGTGCTTTCTCACTTTCCCTTTCTCTCCCTTCCTGTTTCTCTTTGGCAAGTGGATGCTTCCTCTGATACAAATAAATAAATAAATAAATAAATAAATAAATAAATAAATAAATCCATCCATCCATCCTAGGGTCAGCCACTTCGTTAAAGGAGCTGGGATCTCATAAGGCTGTCAATGAGGTTCTAATCCTGGTGCCGGTAGCTTGAAAATACACTGAGTGTGTGTGCAAGAATGCCCAACTCCTGATGGGAAGGAGAAATAGAGAGGGGATTATAGCAAGACCACACTCCACTCAGGAATCTCCCTCTCCTTTACTCTCCCTCTTCCTTACACGCTCTCTTTTTCTATCTTACATATACACACTCTTCTCTGACAAATAAAAATTCCAAAATTTCAGAGCAATAAACTTATTTTAATGTATGCTATGGTTTGAATGTCTCCCCCCAGTCCAATACCATTAAGAGACAGGGCTTTAAGAGGTGATTAAATCACAAGAGTTTCATGAATGGGATTAATGCTCTCACGAAAGAGGCTGGAGGGAGCTCTTTTGACCCCTCCACAATGCAAGGACAAGAAGGCACCATCTTTGAAGCAGAAGATGGATCTTTTCCAGATGCTGTTTCTGTTAATACCTTGACCTGGAACTTCCCAGCCTCCAGAACTAAGCAATAAATTTCCATTTTTTTTATATTTTACCTAGTCCAAGGTATTTTATTACAGCAGCAAGAACAGATTAAGACTAATATATAAACATTTCTTTATGAAAGACTTAAAACTCAAAATGGTAAGTGTCCACTTATATATAAATATTAAGTTTAAGTCTATGGACTTCTGGTATGACATACAAAACTGGGTGTATTTATATAACATGTCTATCAAAGACTCAAAGGGGTTCATAATCCCAAAAGTAAAACTACTCTATCAGGAAGCACTGTTAGTTGATGTACACATTTAAGGACAATTTAGCAGCAATTTACCTTAAGTTCTTGTTGAAGTTGCTTGATTTCCATAATTTCCAAGTCACACTGCTTATCCAGAACTTCCAGCTCAGTCTTTTGTGTTTGTTTTCTGAGGCGGACATCTTGAAGTCTACCTGCGATCTGCTGATGTTTGCCATTCTACAGAAGATCATATAAATACATGGTAACATCAACTGCTAATAGGAAATGTCCCTACTTGAAACTAATACTTAAATGTTTAAATGTTATTTATCATTCATACTCAGTCTAAAATAACATAAATAAGGTTTTATTTATAAATGATGTCTAAAACCAAGCGGAATATGTTTTAGAGCTGTTCCTATTAACAGGAAACACTAATTCTCAGAGCATGAGAGCCCATATATTAAGATGAGAAAGTATAAACACATCATTTTTTCTGAATTAGCATTGAAATATTAATTTACAATCTTACTATCAGAAACAAACTTAAAGAACAATGAGAAATAAATGTCTGCATGTGAATTGTGCATTACCCTCTCTATTTCTACCCTCAATGTTACCATCTAAGTATCTCTAATTGAACACTGTCTGGAAGACGACGACAACAATTCTCTTCTCCCATATTCCTTTCCTTAAGCAAGGAGTACAATTTCATCCTTTCTTTTTAGAATTTTAAAAGATTCTAAATGGGATCTAAGAAGAATGGTTAAGGTAGAGAGTTAGAGGTTGAACTGTGTTCCCTTCATCTCCGGAATTTATATGTTAAGTTTTATACCTCAGGGTCTGACCAGATTTAGAGATAGAACCTTTAAAGAGTTAATTACAATTAAATGGATAGGCCCTCATCCAATCTGACTAGTGTCAAAATCTGGATACGAAGAAAGACACCAGAGGTGCACAGTCCGAGGGCTCAGTGGTGAGGTGGTCGAGCCAAGGAGAGTGGTTTCACGGGAAACCAAACCTGACAGCACCTTGAGCCTCACCTTCTAGCCTCCAAGTCTGGTTTGGGGCCAGCAGGTAGCATAGTGGTTAGCACTGGATTCCCAAATGGCTGACTGTGGTCTGAGTTCCAGAACTGGCAGCTTGAAACTCATGCTGGGCGTGTGTGCGTGCATGCCCAAAGTCTCAAGAAGAGATTGTGGTGTGACCATCCCCCCAGAGGGTGATTTCTCACTTTCTCTCTCTCTGGCAATGGCATGTGTCCCATAGCAAAAATCTCTCTAAAACATGAAAAAAAATTAATGTTTTTTTTTTTTAAACTGCCCATTCTGTCATATTTTGTTATGACAGTCCTAGCAAATTAATACACTAAGGTAAGGAGAAATAAAATCCCTAGCTAAAAATCACAATTATAAAAAAGCATCCTGGGGAATACATTTCACATATGAAAAATACACACTGCTTCCATCCTAGTGCTCACATTATCTTTTTTTTTTTTTAAGAATTATTTATTATTACTTTAATTTGCTATAGGGCATGTGTGCTCATCTGAGAGAGACAGGGTAAGTGAGAAAGCAAGTTGCCAGGTCTGGGATTTGAACCTCAGTCAGCCATGTAGGAGTCCAACACCTCAACTACCACGTCACTCACTGGCCCCAAGCTCACATTACTTTTAATGTGCATAAGTATAAACTCTGGACGTTTTGAGACTCTGTATATTATCCTGTTATTGGGCTTGGTGTGTTGTTCCAATTCTTGAGGGAAACACAATCAATCCTAAGGCCTGCTCTCATTATCTTTTAAAGAAAAAATACTGTATATAGTTAACACAATGGTTCGGACAGATATCCAAGCAGCAAAAAAAAAAGTTATAAGTTTTTAGGCCTGTTTTGTAGTATTCTGGCATGATTAATGGTGTGGTATGTATTCCTACCCACTTGAAGTAAAGAAAAAAAGAGTAACTTCCTGCAAAAGATGTGATAATTTATTTGAAAAATTTTTAATGTAAATTGAGTCATCAACCAAATAAAATGTTAAGACTATAATTAAACAAGATCTAAATTTGGCTCTACTGCATGGTTAGATACATACTTTGACAAATCCCACTATACTAATAGGTCAGGCTCCTAGGACTCTAGGATTGTAGGAGAATTAATACCAGACCTTTTATACCTTCTCACCTTTTGTTTCATACCAAGTCTTCCCCCCTTCCCCAATTGCCAGAGGGTGTATATGATCACCAGGGAAAGAAACAGGGACAGAGGGGAAGAACGCACTCCCAAGTGGAGTATGATCATGCAGCAATCTCTTCTCCATTTCTTCACCCTGTTGAGATTTGAGGTGCACATGCCCATGTGCCCATCATGTTTTTCAAGCCACCAGGGTTGGGACTGGAACCGTGGACAGTCACTTGGGGTCTGGCTCCCTTAACCACGAGCGTACAGGGCCAGCCCTCAAAAAAAATTGTTTTTTAATAATTTTTATTTTATTTATTATTATTATTTTATTTGACCAGAGAGATGAGAGAGAGAGAGCCTAGCAAGCCACTAGGTCCAGGTCTTGAATCATGGTCAGCCACGTGGGAGTCCAGCACCTCAATCACCAAGCCACCTGCCAACCCTTAAAGCCCTCAAAATCTTTTAAAGACTTAACTCTCTGACATCTGATGAAAGAAATTCTAAGAGATCATTTAGGTCATCAGTTTTAAATTATTTTTCTTTTTACCAATAGAATCCTTTACCTCAAGCAAATCTTAGATATCAATAAAATCTCGACAAAAATAAAGCACATATATGTGGAGCTTCTCTGCTGTGAAGTGTGGGAAGAACTGGGGGGAGGGAGCCCGCAGGTGGCATGATGGTTAAGGAGCTGGACACCCACATGGCCAACCACAGTTTGAGTCTCAGACTTGATGGCTTGCGTTCTTACTTTCTCTCTCTGGTCAAATTAAGAGTAAATAAAATTGGGACCAGCAGTTAGCATAATGGCTATGTCGCTGGACTCCCATGTAGTTGACCATGGTTCGCAACCTGGACCCGGTGGCTTAAAACTCACGCCGGGACACATGTGTTGTGCGTGCCCAAGATCCCGAGAGGAGAATGGAGGAGAAGGGATTGCAGTGTGGCCATCCCTCCTGGGGGGGGGTGATTTCTCGCTTTCTGTCTCTGTCTAGCGAGTGCACGCGCCCTATAGCAAAAACCTCTTCAAAAAAAAAAAAAAAAAAGTAAATAAAATTAAATAAATAATTCTAAAAAAAATTAAAAACAGAGAGTTGGAGAGAGAAGACCACCATTCACTATTCTGCTGCCTAGGTTTCCTCTCTCCTGCTTCTGGTGAGTGTTCTGCAGATCATCCTCCAGCAGTCAATCTGAAAACTGAAAATTAAGCCAGTCCTATAGCGCACTAATTAAGTACAACGGATCAGAAGTCAGATTCCACATGGCCAACCAGGGTTCAAATTCCAACCCTGGCAGCTAGAGGAACACACTGGGCACATGTGAGTGAGCGTTCGAAATCCTGACTAGATGGAGAAATGGAGGAAAAGGGACTGTGGTGTGAACACACCCCCATGATGGATTCTTTTTTCTCTCCCCCCCCCACTCCCCTCTTTCTGGTGAACATGCACTTTTGCCAATTCAAAAAAAAGATGGAGAAAGAGAAAGCTGAAAATGACTGAGCTAGCACAACCCTTTACATTATACATGGGCAAAGTAATGCACGGAGACAGAATATCTTGTCCAAGAATACGTTTCATCTGAACTGAGGGTGTGACATAATTCTCAGCTTTTTGAGACTCTATCCTTCCTTTTTTAAAATGTGTTCTAACATGCATGTGATCCTCAGAGCGAGACAAAGAGGAAGAGAGAGAGGGGAAGTGAGCAGTTACCCTCCAGGGGTATGGCGCACCACAATCCTTTCTTCTGCATTATCCTTCTGCGATTCTGGGTACACACATACACACGCACAGGGTCAGCATGTTTTCCGAGTTGCTGGGTCTAAGGACTTGAACTGCACAGCCGGTCATGTGCTATCCCGCCATCTTAGTTACTGAGCCACTGATGGTCCAGTACTCTACCCTTTCTTTAGTAAACTACATTGAAGCACGTATGAGATTATGAATATTAAATTATATTAAAACAGTTTATTCATGAGATTTTTAAAACTAAATTTTTCATTGGGTAACTCTAGTATCATTCAGATAAATTCCACTTCAATTTTAGCCATACCAATACTTCCAACTCAAGGTGAAGACTCTTCTTTTTAGAGTTTAACCTGACGATTTCTTCTTGTTCTCTGTTCTTTTGATTGAGAAGCTCCTGTCGACGAATTCTCTCCCATTCTAAACGACGTTGTCGTTCAAGTTCCTGTTTTGCTGCCTGAAAATAATGAATTAAAGTTCATTTTAAAATTAATTTTGCCTCAGGGAACCAGCAGTTAGCGTAATGGCTATGTCGCTGGACTCCCACATAGTCGACCGCGGTTCGTGTCCTGGACCCGGTGGCTTAAAACTCACGCCGGGCGCGTGTGCGTGCTGCCCAAGATCCCAAGAGGAGAATGGAGGAGAAGGGATTACGGCGTGACCATCCCCTCTGGGGGGTGATTTCTCGCTTTCTGTCTCTATGTCTCTCTCTGTCTGGCGAGCGCAAGCGCCCTATAGCAAAAACCTCTCAAAAAAAAAAATTAATTTTGCCTCATTTAAAAACTGATGAGAGCTCAGCCATGGTGGGACAGTCTGCTAAGATGTTGCTGCTCAGAGGCAAGTCCTGAGTTCCATTCCTGGCCTATCTCCAGGCACTGCGAGGTGCCACTGTGGTCCTAGCTAGCTGAAAGCTGGGGCAGGAGACTCCCAATATGGCAAGACTCAGTCAAAAAAAATCAATCGATCCTTCTCAAATAAATAAATAAAATTTTAAAAATCAATGGGATGAAAAGATACAGATGAGGAAACATTTACAACTTAATGGGCTATAGTGCCTAAGGACAGGTAGGCAAACTTTATCAATGGGGCTAACAAACTACAGACTTCAACAAAAGTGAGTTCATCTGTCAGATTTTAGTTGCTTCACAGAATCCTCTTTTGTTAACAGTCCTTTTCTTGCTTTTTTTTTTTTTTTTTGGAGAGGTTTTCGCTATAGGGTGCATGTGCTCGCCAGACAGAGAGAGAGAGAGAGACAGAAAGCGAGAAATCACCCTCCGGGGAGATGGTCACGCCGCAATCCCTTCTCCTCCATTCTCCTCTCGGGATCTTGGGTACGCACGCACACGTGCCCGGCGTGAGTTTTAAGCCACCGGGTCCGGGACGTGAACCGCAGTCGACTACGTGGGAGTCCAGCGACATAGCCATTACGCTAACTGCTGGTTCCCAGCAGTCCTTTTCTCTTAATAAGCAAATGGATGATGTCATAAATATAAATATTAAGATAAATAATTATATCTCTATTCTGGACCAGGGAAAAATATTCTATTTACATTATTTGATTGTTACTGTAACCTACAGTACTCCATCTCTGGCCCTTTTAAACACAGCCAGTTGGGGCCAGTGGTGTAGTGGTGAAGAGCACTGGCCTCCCACATGGCAGACCATGGTTTGAGTCCTGGACCCAGAGGCTTGCTTTCTCGCTTTCTCGCTTTCTCACCTTCTCTCTCTCTCTCTCTATTTGGACAAATTAAAATAAATTAAATAAAGGGACCAGGAGTTGGCGTAACGGCTATGTTGCTAGATTCCCATGTTGTAGACTGCAGTTTGGGTCCCAGACCCAGTGGCTTAAACTCACGCCTGGTGCGTGTGCACGCGTGCCCAAGATCTTGAGAGGAGAACGGCTTGCGGCGTGGCCATCCCCCCTGGGGGGTGATTTCTCGCTTTCTGTCTCTGTCTCTCTTTGTCTTTCTGGCAAGCACATGTGCCCTATACCAAAAACCTCTCCAAAAATAAATATATTTAAAAAATAAATAGATTAATTAAGTTAAATAAAATAATTCTTAAAAAAAAAAGAAAGAAAAGAAAAGAAAACACACAACCAGTCTACTTAGAGACCTCACATAATACTATCTTAAGCACTTTCACAAGATCATCAATTGGTTCCTCCGGGATCTTCAATTCCCCACTCCCATCTTTCTATCTCCAATTCCTTGGACTCTCAATCTGGATCCTGAGCTTGCTTTTGGTTAATGACATATTCACGTTGACTCCTGGTAGCTAACTAATCTCAGCTCCTTAATCAACTTAGCTTTGCCCTCAGTCCTTTAACTGAGATATCACCTGCAGAAAGGCTTTCTACTCCACTCACCAGCCCAGAAAACCCCATACATGCAAGGACCCACTTTCTTTCCATGAGAGAAGGAAGATTCAAATTTGTATAGGATAACTGAAAAGAAAATGATGCAGGAGAAAAGGCACGACAAAAATCCCAAAATAAGCAGGTTTTTTTTTTTTTTTTTTAAATCAAATTAAATGTATTCACTTACTAAATATAATTACTTTCTTGGGGGAATAAAATAACTTAAAAATAACCTCTCGTCTTTCTATCTCTTTTCTCCTTTCTTCCTCCCGTTGTCTCTCCAATTCCCTCTGTTTCTCCAAGCGTTTTTCTAATTCGAGTTGTTTCTTCCATTCTTGTTCTTGTAATTCTCTCTGTTTCCGTTCCCACTCTTCCTTTTCTTTCTGGGCTTTACGTTCTGCCTCCCTCTGCTGCTGCTCCATCAAGGCTTGGCGTCGCTTCTCCAGTTCCATGTTCCCTCGCTCGTAGTTGGCTTTCCGCTTGTCCTCAAAAGTCACTGGGTATAAAGCAAGCGCTCTTACACAGATGCCTCCAGACCTGGAACCTCGCGCCCACACGCTTACGCCTGTGATCACTAGAGTGCTACTACTCTGCCGCTACTTCTCAGGATCATCTTAGCTCAAATGTAAGTACTTACTTTCTTCTAAGATTTTTGGAAAAATACATTTCTAAGTTTGAATCTACTCAAGAAAGAAATAACTCTATTATTCTTGCCAATAGACATACTTTTTAAATGTTTTCCTCAGTTTTGTCTTTATTTGATATATGCCATTCATTAAAAATAAATTTTAAGGGTCACCAGGTGGTGTGGTGAAGGGACTAGATTTCCACATGGTCTGCCATGGTTTAAGTCTCAGATCTGGTGGCTTAAAAATCACACTGGGCATGTATGCACATGTGGTCAAAATCCCAAGAAGAGAATGGAAGAGGAGGGATTGCAGCATGGCCATCTCCCCAGGGTAGTGATTTCTCACTTTCCCTCACTCTGTCTCTCCAGCAAGTACACAGACCCTATTGCAAAAAAGAAAAAAACGGGCTACCGATGTACTTTTTTTAACCAATATTTAACCTTTATTTTTGGAGCTAAAAAGTCCATCACAAAGCCTACCCTAAGGACTCTGCCTAAATGCAAAGAGCACTTTAACTCAGATGACTACATTCTTGCCAAACACACACTAACCACTGCCTTAACAGTCTTCTCATTCTCACCACCTTAATTCTATCAATATGAAAACCCATTCCATCCATCAAATATTTTTCTCATATAATATGTAAAATGAGGATGTAAAAACTCTAAATACTTATTTATACTTCAACGTAATAAAATGTAAAAGAACTTACTATAAATAGGTATACAGCTTAGATACTCAACACTACCTGGTAATTTCTTCTGAGGTTCCTCTTCTTGGATTTTCTGGTATGAAGGTAAAGTTCCATTAATGGAATCAATTTGCTTTCCTCCTCTAAGGAAAGATAACAAATTTAGCATCAGGCAAGCTGGGAATTTTCAGATAAGAGTATACAGACTATGAATGATTAAAACAATTTCATATTCAAACTGTAGTGGGCCAGCCATGTGCTGTGATGGTTAAGCCAGGTAGATCCCACATGGTTGACTGAGTGGTTCAAGTCCTGGCACATGTGTATAAGTGCCCAAAGTGTCCTGGCCAGCTCACATGCTATAGAAAAAGCATAACAAAACAAAACAAATGCCAAATGTAGTATGGAAGATATTTAAGGGGCTAGCTGGTGGCATGGTGATGAAAGCAGCGGGATCCCACATGTTGGGCTGCATGGTTCGAGTCCTGGACCCAGTGGCTTGAAAAATATACTGAGTACATGTGCATGTGTGCACCAAATCCCAAGAGGAGAATGGAGAAGGGACTGCAGCATGGCCATCCCTCCTGTATGATTATTTCTCACTTGCCTTATTTCTCTGTCTCTCTATCTCTCTCTCCCTGGTGAGTACACATGCCTTATAAAAAATACCAAATACTAATAATAGTGACGATTTTTAGGGGCCAGCAGATGGCATAGTGGTTACATCGGGGGACTCCCACATGGCTGATCACAGTTCGAGTACTGAACTTGGTGGCCAGAAAATCACATTCAGTGCAAGTGCGTGCACACCCAAGATCCTGGGAGGAAAATGGAGGAGAAGGGACTGCAGTGTGCCCATCCCCCTCAAGCACACATTCCCTAAGGCAAAAACCTCTTTCTTTCTTTTTTTTTTTTTTTAAAGAGACTTTAAAAACAGTATGGTATACTGTTACTATGTATAGGAGTAGAAGAATATTCAGGCCAGAGATCTGGATTCAAATCACAGTTCATCTAATTGCTATTCTTGCAAGCTTTTCCTAATCCCTTTAGCCATCAATTTGCTTATGCACACCGTGGTGAACACACACTTCTAATACGTGCTCCTTCCCTATGTAGCTCATTCAATGACAGAATCAACGGCGCTGTAAATACTGGGCTGCTGGAAAAGTCATGGAGTAATTTTTCCATGTTTCCCCATGTAAAACTGCATCAAGACTTTTCCAACAGCCCAGTATTTAACTCCCCTCTAAACAAGAAGACAGGTCTCAGTGAATCTCTGAGATCTGCCAAGTGATGGAAGCCACAGGTTTTCACCTTGAGGACCTCACCTGAAAGACGGAGGGACGAGCTCCGGAGGTAAAGTCAGTGGTAGCGGCTGTCCAGCTTTGGCCATGTCAGTGAGATGCATTGCCAGGATAAACTCTTCAGCTTTCAGTTGTCCGTCACCATCGATGTCAGCCAGAGTCCTGAAGAAAACGGGAAAATGTACAACTTATGAAGGAAGTCTATTTGGAGCAAAATATTGTCTGAAGAATTCTACATTTCATTCTTAAAAGAAGAATAACAAGGGGCCAGCAGATGGCATTGTGTTTGCAGCTCTGGACTCCCACATGGCAAACTGCAGTTCAAGTCCTGGACCTGGTAGCTTGAAACTCATATCAGGCGTGTATGCTTGAGTTTCAGAGAGGAGAAGGGACTGCAGTTGGCCAGCCCCTTTAGGAGCTGATTTCTCACTTTCCTCCCCCCCCCCCCAAAAAAAAAGGTTAATATATTTTAGTGAAATGTAAGTACGTACAGAAAAGTGAGTTGATTTTTACCTTTAATTTTCATAACCCAAAAATGAGGGGAAAAACTTTGAAAAAGAAAAGGAAATATCCCCTCTGAGAAGGCAATTTACCTTATTTCATGGTTAATTTACCCATCAAGTCATATTTTCCTATATATTACAAACAAGACATTCTCTGACTCTCCACGGTAGGCATTCTTTCTTTCTTTTTTTTTTCCACTATAGGGCGCATGCGCTCGCCAGACAGAGAGAGACAGAGAGACAGAAAGCGAGAAATCACCCCCCAGAGAGGATGGCCACACCGCAATCCCTTCTCCTCCATACTCCTCTCGGGATCTTGGGCACGCATGCACACGCGCCCGGTGTGGGTTTTAAGCCACCAGGTCTGGGACGTGAACCGCGGTCGACTTCGTGGGGGTCCAGCGACATAGCCATTACGCTAACTGCTGGTTCCCATCCATGGTAGGCATTATATAAAAACAAGCAGTAGTCATACTTGTAAAATCACTAAATGATAAATTCTCAAGACCTTTGTTCTGTACACATTTACGTTCAAGGTTGACATTAACTTTCAAGTGGCTGCTTTTATATAGTACCTCTGAGTCACAAATTCTATGGAAATAATGTCTTTCAGGTAGCAGAAGATGTAAAGTTAAACATCATCGTTAATGGGCAAACTCACCAGATAGTAGCCAGCTGAGTTTGAGAAAGATTTGACTGAAGAAGGGCATTTCTTGCTTGAAAACCTGATTGAGCAGGAAAACCATAAAGAAAAAATTCTTTAGCCTTCATCAAATCATGCAAACCTAAATAGCTATGCCTATAAAATAACATCGCTGCTACCCTGGGAAGTTTTACCATCAAAACATCTTCTACCACGTGCCAGGTACAGAGCATCAAGTAGTCATCAAACACAGACCATGCCCCAAGGAGTTCAAAATCCAGAATGAATGGCATCAAGTGCTCCTGCGCTTGTTACCCCAGATAATAGTATGCACAAATGGCTGACACGGCGGGACAGGCCACCAGGCAGAGAGCACTCTCGGCCTTCCTGTACTCACGAAGAACTTGGGATTCCTACTGCATCCATTACTCAGCAAATATTTATTAAGCGAGACCAGCAGCTGGTGTAATGGCTATGTCGCTGGACTCCCATGTAGTCGACCGTGTTTTGAGTCCCAGACCTGGTGGCTTAAACTCACGCTGGACATGTGTGCGTGCGTGTGTGTCCAAGATCCGGAGAGGAGAATGGAGGAGAAGGGATTGTGGCGTGGCCATCCCCCTGGCGGGGTGATTTCTCGCTTTCTTTCTTTCTCTCTCTGTCTTTCTGGTGAGTGCACGTGCCCTGTATCAAAAACCTCTTGGGAAAAAAAAACATTGTATATGGTATAAGGTATAATAGTGAAATAGTCACCCATGAACCAACTCTTAAGAACGAGGCATTACTAAATGCCTTGAAGCTATCTGTGACTTTATCTCTATGCCTCCTCTATGACAGGTAACCATTATCCCGAATTATCCTGAGTTTTGTGTGCATAATTCCCCTGCTTTAAAATAAAAAAGGCTTTAATCATACTGGTATAGATCTTTAGAGAAAATACTGTATAGTTTTGCTTGTGCAATCATTTCCCAAAGCCTCCATGTTCCCTTGCCCACCCACACCCCCAGAGGCTTTATCCTCCTATGTCATGGACTACGTTCATGCTCTAAACATGCCATGTACCTTTTGCTCTCGGGATTTCTTCTCTGTCACTTTGAAATGCTCTCACTTTCAATTCTATCTTTCCAAATATTCTTTCCTTCTGACAGAGGAAATGATAAACACTCCCTTCCTGTGTAATATTTATGAGCTCTGCAGGATTAGTATCTCCCTGTCTGTGCTCCTTACTACTTTAAAGCTCTATTATTTCGGGGGGGTTGAGGTTGTGGGGGGGAAGCTCTATTATTTTTAAACATTTATTTTACTCTGTCCTAAACTGTAACAATTCCTTGCTAAATGAAGGAGTGGGAAAGTTAGATGGCGGAAACTCCACCTGCCTATCACCCTCTGTATCTCCTTCACTCAGTGAGTAAAGTTTAGATAATGTTCTAGCCTAGATTCAAATATTCTATAGGGATCTAAAGTCAAGTCTGACAGCCACAATTAGGTTAGAGCCTTCAAGGGTGAGTGATGCTCTCCTGAGGTTTTAGTAAGGGCAAGCAATAATCTCAAGCTGCAAGAGAATTCCCAGCAAAGTGTGCCAAGGCTAAGTCCCACACACACGCTCTCATAAATTACAGTTCTCCATTCACTGCAAAGCTTAAAGGATAAGGTCTGATCTTCCCAAGGGACAGGTCTTTTTCCAAAAAGTTGGTTGCACATCTGTGAGCGCAATTTGACCATCAGAACTTTAAAGAAAACAAGTCAAACCATCTTTGAATCCTTACACAACTTACATTATTTGTATTTATCACATGCCTGCTAATTTGGGGACATTAAAACTTTAGATAAGCTACCAAGTACAAATTCAAATAAAAGTTCTTTGATGGGAGTCCACTTGAAAGACTTTCTTTCACACGTAAGCACTGTAAGCTGCTTACCTGAGAGGTAACCACTCATGCTTTTGTCAAGACTGTTAAATTTTTGCCGATACTTTAATCTTGAAGGCTGTGGAACTGCCCACTCCGAGGTCCCAGTCTTAGGGGAGTTCCCTGAGAGTGAAGCAGTCGAGGAAGTTGAGCTATAATAAAATTTATTTAAAATTGTTATGTTACTAAATTAATTAATTAATTTAAATTAATTAAATTTTATGAGACAGACATTAAAAGTCATAAGTTACGTAGTACAAGGATAGTTGTTTTGAATGCGGTATCTGTAAAAAACTTAAATTATCTATACTTATTAAAGCAAGTACGATACACCGAACTCCATGGGACGACCAAACATCAAGAGCATACTGTGTACCCAGTCCTTTCACTGTGCAAGGGTCTTTATGAATATCATTTCTAATCTTCCCAACAAACTTAGAAGATACCACTTTCCCCATATTTCAGCTGGGTAAACTATGAATCACTAATGTTTTAAAAAAAAAAGAAGAAACAAGGTCGCAACATGAGGTAAGTGTTAAGCTGGGATAAAAATGTTCTAGGTCGAAGTTACCACTTTGTTTTGAAGGTACAACAGTAATGGGCCAGTAGGTGGCGTAGTGGTTATGGTGGGGACTCCTACATGGCCAACTGCAATTCAAGTCTTGGACCTAGGCACTTGAAAATCATGCCAGGTAAGTGTGCATGCACACCCAAAATCCCAGCAGGAGAACAGAGAAGGCATGCACCTTATGGCAAACATTAAAAGAGAAAAAAAAAAGAAAAAGAAGAGTGTAGTAGTGATTTTTATATGAGTGGTGATGAATGCATTTTGATGCTTTTGTGGTTTCTAAAATTTAAAAGATATTCAATAAACAGAATTTGTTCAACAAAGAAATTACCAAAGTACAATGATTTTAAGACATTTTGGGAAACACATACTTTTTTTTTTAGAGAGAGATTTTTGCTATAGGGTACATGCACTCACCAGAGAGATAGAGAAAGACAGAAAGCAAGAAATCATCCCTTGGGGGGATGGCTAAGCTGTAATCCCTTCTCCTCCATTCTCCTCACAGGATTTTGGGCACGCATTCACACACCCCCGGTGTAAGGTTTGTTTGTTTTTAATTATTTATTTATTTAATTCTATTTGTTGTTACTATTATTTTTTAAATTTTATTCACTCACCAGAGAGATAGAGAAAGACAGAAAGCAAGAAATCATCCCTTGGGGGGATGGCTAAGCTGTAATCCCTTCTCCTCCATTCTCCTCACAGGATTTTGGGCACGCATTCACACACCCCCGGTGTAAGGTTTGTTTGTTTTTAATTATTTATTTATTTAATTCTATTTGTTGTTACTATTATTTTTTAAATTTTATTACACAAAGAGAGAGAGAGAGAAAGTGAAAGTGAGAAAGCAAGCCACCAGGTCCAGGACTTGAACCAGAGTTGGCCATATGGGAATCCAGCGCCCTTAACCACTATGCCACCTGCCTGTCCCCTGGTGTGAGTTTTAAGCTACTGGATCCAGAACTCAATCAGTGCTCAAATATGTGGGAGTCCAGTGATGTAACCATTACACCACCTGCTGATTCCGGAAATACATCCTTTTTTAAGAGGAAAAGTACGTACATAGTTTTGAGAAAAGGAAAAAAAAAAAGACTAATTACAACACAACAGCTTTTTAGTTATAACTTTTTTTCAAAAGTAAAATAACACATCTTTAAAAACTCTATAAATTAAAAAAATATACGTGACTTATAAGAGGTACCTTTACCTTCCGTACTACGTTGCCATTGAAAAGTAGGACCTGGATAAATGCAGAGCTTTAAAAAACGCCATTTGTTAAATAAAGACTCCTTATTGGAAGCATAGAAAGTGTTAAATACTCATACCTACTAGATCCTAAGTCAATCAGAGACTGGGCCTTCTGTATACTAGCACCACCAAATCCTCCCATCATCAGACTGTAAGATGATGTATGAGGCAAGGCTAAGAAAAGAAAAGAAAAAAAAAGGGGGAGAGGTTCACATTAAGGATCACCACAAAGGATGAAGGAAATTTTATCTGTTTGGACACAAATATAACCGTCTGTTTCTTCACATGAAAACTGACTCAGACACCGAGAACTTACTTGATGAAGAATAAGGAATGGACAAAGGCTGAATGAGACTGGCGGTTCCGTTGGGTAATGACGATGTGCTCACAGAAGGCACCAAGGGAGCAGGCATCATTAAGGGAGGAAGGCTGGTCCCTGAAGTCGCAGAGGACAAGGGTGTCGCTCCAGGTGCCACGGCGGGCAACGACTGAGGAATGGACAGGTTGGGCATGCTCCCCATTCCTAAAGACAACACAGGACACATTACAAAACGCATGCAGAAAAACACGTTACAGTGCAATGAAAGCCGATCCTATGTTTGTAGAAATACCATGGGCAAACTGTGCTTAAAAATTCACACAAGCAGTTAACCTAGCACTAAGTAAGCTACTCTTTTAACATTAATATTCGGACTGTATGAACCAGGAAAATGCCTACTAAGGAGTTAAAGATTCTCTTTTCTCATCATGAATAAAACTAAGCAGCCTTTTCCAGTTAAATATTAGTATCCTTAATTAGTATCAAATGAGGGTTGTGTTGCTAAATTACCTAACACACACACACTCCACAAAGAAAAAGGTTCTAATTAGTAGATACTTTAGGAGACCCATTAATGCTTATACTCTGTTTGCAAGAAAGCATGCCAAGTGTTTGACTTTTCTTGTACTTAATGTATTTATGAATTCAAGAATAATTCTGTAAAAGTAATGCTGTAATGACTTTTATTCATTTAATTACTGCAAAATGCTAAGTACAACATATAAAAATGGTCATAAAATGATTTGGTATTTATCTCTAGTGCTTACTGCAATAAATGAAAGAATTTTGTGTTTTAAGATCTAACATCTGCAGTGAAGGAACAAGTTTCAGATACACAAAAATATCTAATTAAATGTTCCATTCAACATGAGTGCTTCCCCCACAAAGTAAGAAAATGACAAATCAAAACAGAAAACACACCAACTGGTTATCTTTAATGAATATGTATATCAGTTAGCACAAGTCTTCAACTTTCATCCCCAAATTTAGTTAGCTAATTAACCTTTAAAGAAATTTCTACATACATATAAATTTAAATTAAATCATTTTGAATAAGGTTAAAATTCTTCAAATTTAGGGGCCAACAGGGGGAATGATGGTTAAGGTACTGAACCCCACATGGCCAACTCTGCAATTTAAGCAAAAACCCCTCTGGTTGAAAGCACACCAGGCACGTGTGCATGTGTGCCTAAAATCCTGAGAGGAGAATGGAGAAGGATGGATTGTGGCATGGCTATTACCCCTGGTGGGTGATTTCTCACTTTCCTGCTCTCTCTCTCTCTCTGTCTCTCTCTGGTAAGTGTACAAGCTCTACAGCAGAAATAAAAACAAAAAAAGAAAAACACACCAGGAGTGTGTACATATGTACCAAAATCCTGAGAGGAGAATGGAGAAGAAAGGATTGAGGCATAGCAACCTCCCTGGAGGTGATTTCTCACTTGCCCCCCTCCTCTGACTCTGGCAAACATATAAGGCCTATAGTAAAAATAAATAAATAATAAAAACAAAAACAAGAAAAGAAAGAAAAACACCAGGTGTGTGTGCACATGTACCCAAAATCCTAAGTGGAGAATGGAGAAGAGATTGAGGTATATCTATTCCCCACGCCCCCACCTCCTGGTGGGTGAGTTTTCACTTTCCTCTCACAATCTCTCTCTGGCAAATGCATGTGCCCTATGTCAAAACCCCCCCAAAAAGTTCATCTTTTTCTATGCTACTCATGCCTATAGTGGAAACCTGTTAAAAATAAGAGCATTGAGGATTGGCTATTCCTAGGAGGACCATACAATTTATCACCCAAGTGGGAGTCGTGAAAGGGACACTAACTGGACCAGTTGCCAGGACAAGACACATAAATCAGAACTGTCCCTGGAAAACTGGGACACATGGACACCTTAGGTATGACAGCAAATTTAGTATTTCTTCAACTCAGACCATGGAAATTAACTTAGAGTCTGGGGATGTTTGTTTTGTGCTAACAAGTCCCTTTCTAATCCTCAAATATTAGGCCTAAACTAAGTTTAGCTAAAAAAAAAAATTAAAATACTAGTAATTAATAGGTACATACCGAAACGAGCAGAAATTAATGGAGAGAACATAGGGGGTTGTTTCATAATAGGAGGGAGAACCACAGGCAACTGTTGGCCTTGCAGCTTCAGTTTGATGAGTTTCATAGCTATGGAGAACTCTTGCTGATCCATCTTCCCATCCTTGTTCAGGTCTGACAAAGCCCTGAAAGGAGCATGAGGTGGACAGGTTGGCACACGGGTGGTGGTGAGAAAACCAGCACTACTTTTGAGATTGATAAAATAAAAATGGCACAGCACTCACATGCAGCTCACCACTCAATTAAATAAATAATACATATACAAATAACAAAAAGATAAAATTTGCACATTAAGAAATATTGATCAGGAGGGCCGGGAAGTGGCGTGGTTGTTAAGGGTGCTGGACTCCCACATAGCTGACAGTGGTTCAAGCCCTAGACTTGGCAGCTTGCTTTCTCTCTCTGGTCAAATTAAAATATATAAATAAATAGAGTTAAATAAAATAATTCTTAAAAAAAAAAAAAAGAAATACTGATCAGGGACCAGTAGATAGCGTAGTGGTCACATCACTGGACTCCCACGTAGTTGACTATGGGTCAAGTCCCAGACACAGCAGCTTAAAACTCATGCTGGGTGAATGTACGTGTGTGCCCAAAATCCTGAGAGGAGGACAGAGAAGAAGCGTTTGCAGTGTTTCTAATTTCTCGCTTTCTGTCTCTCTATCTCTATGGCAAGCACACGTACCCTACAGCAAAAAAATCTATTTAAAAAAAAAGAAACACTGGTCGGGGCTGGCAGGTAGCATGGTGGTTAAAGTGCTGGATTCCCATATGGTCGACTGCAGTTCAAGTCCCGGACCTGGTGGCTTGCTTTCTTTTTCTGTCTCTTTCTGGTCAAACTGAATAATAAATAACAACAATAATAATAATAATTAATAGATAAATTAAGTAAATAAATCTTTAAAAAATACTGTCTAAAGAGAGTATCTCAAAAAATAATACCTGTCTGCAAAGAATATAGAGACCTTTCGGGTAAATTCTACCAGTGTGGATGGAAAAAAATTATTCAATATTAAAAAATAATTCAGTTCTAAATTTAATTTATTCATTTGATCAAATATTTCTTGCATGCATGCTCTGTGCCTGGCACTCTGCAAGGCATGGGAATATTCCAAATGGAAAGAAAGGTGGTGTAGAAGTTTCATTTACTGGACATACATTAAAACACAAAACCCCAGATATTTTTAAAAAAAAGAAAAAACTTGTTTAAAATAGAAGCAGGATAAAGGAGAGTTAATTTTGAGTTTAGAGATGATGAAACTATTTAGATTGCTTAAATTTTAAACAAAAAATTAGAGATTTGAGATTCCACCAACTAAAAAAATGTTTCTCTGGGACCAGCCTGTGGCTGGATTCCACATGGCTAACTATGTGGTTCAAGTCCTGAACCTGGTGGTTTGAAAAACACTCTAGGCACATATGCGTGCGGACTCAAAATCCCCAAGTGAGGGAGAAATGAAGAAGGGACTGCACTGTAACTATTCCTCACAGTGGAGAAGGGTGCTTCCTCCCGATCCCTCCTCTGTCTCTCTCTGGTGAGTGTGCACGCCCTCTGGCAAAATTTTAAAAAGAAAGGTTTCTCAAATATAACAGACACATCTTGTTTCCTTAGAAATTCATACGACAATTTGTCCATAGAACAAAAGCCCAATCATCTTTGATCATTTGCTCAATAAAACTTATTTTCCATAAAACTAAAGAAATATTCTTATTTAATTACAATAGAGTGCAACTAAAAACAATTTTGTTAATACTGCATTATAAAAAGGCAAGCACAGGCCCAGCCATGAGGCTCTGGCCACAGGGCACTGTTGCATTACTCTGGAGCTACAATGGAAGGTCCAGGTTCAGATCCCACCCCAATCCCAACACTTCTTGTGTGCCGGTGCACCCCTGTAATCCCAACTAGGAGGCTTGGTCAGGAGTGCCACAGCATGGCGAGACCCTACTAAAAATACCACCTCTACCTCTCTCCCTCCCTTCGCCTTGCTTTATCTCCCTCTCCTTGTCTCTCATAGGAGTGAATGAACGAATGAAAACAGTCAGACTATCATCAATTTAAGTTCATCTATAAAAGAAGATATTTTACCATATTTCAGCTAAAACAGGAGCCGGCAGTCCAGACTGTAAGAAAAAAGTACGGGCTTGATCACCTGAAGGCAAAACAAAAACCAAGCAAAATATTAGCAAATGGAATTATTCTAATGCACCTAAAATAATGATACATTACTGATTTATTATCATTTTCATTCTAATCATTAAAGAATAAACAAAACTGAAATACATACATAAAATTACTCAAGGCCCACCCTTGGTGGCACCCTAGTGTACTGAACTACAATGCAGTGCTGGAAGCCACATGGCCAACCGTGGGCTCAGATCCCCAGCCTGTTGACCTAAAGCACACCGAGTGCACCTGTACACATGTCCAGGATTCCAACATCCTGGAGGGCCAGGGGCAGGGGACTGTGATATGACCAGACCCTGCTGAAGGTTCTCTCTTTCTCCCTGTTGTGTGCATGAATTCTCTCTCATAAATAAAATAAATTAAAATCATAATAACAAAAATATTTCCATTACTTTAAGTAAAACCTAGAGTTGTTTTTTTTTAAACAAAAGACACACTGGAATTATATTACACTTTAATAAGTGATGAAAGATTATTCATCTTAGCTTTCCCACAACTGGAATTTGATATGATAATATTCTTTTTTTTGATTTTTAATTTTTATTTTGGAGAGGTTTTTGTTATAGGGCTTATGCACTCACCAGAAAGACAGAGAGAGACAGACAGAAAGTCTAGCGACTCCCATATAGCCATTATACCAACTGCTGGTCCCCCTACTGAATATAATATATAGTTATAATAAAAACACTATTCCCTGAGAGAATTCTATATAAAAACTACCAGGTGTCTAGAAAGACAGACCACCGTGCGTTTCCTCATATTCCTTCAGGTCCTACTGTGTATGCCAGAATGCAACACTCTACTTGTCTTCTGCCTGGGTCGTTTCTCAGAACTGGGTTTGCAGTGAGCAGTCTGAAAGAATGAGGTAACATCTCCCACTAGGGCAAACAACCAACTGGCTTTCCTGCAAGGCTGGGTTCCTCTCCTAGTTAACCACCCCAGCACATACAGCATCCTCCTGGGCTCGTGTCATCCGTGGAACTTAGGGAACAAAGGGAGCCAACAGAAACACGCTGATGCTCGTGGAGCTGGCTGTGCTATTAGTAATCAAGTCCTCTGTCTCTAACTCTCAGGCCTCCTGTTAGCATCCATGAATGGTAACAGACTAAGTTATTAACTTGCAAGCAGGGTTACCTGATACCCAACAAAGAAGTTTTCATCATTATAAGAGTACAAATGCCATTAAACTGTAAGAGTTAAAAGGAATGGATCCTCAAATCAGGCTGAATCGTTTCAAAACTCAGATCAACACTAACCATCTCGGTAATCTTAGACATATTACATAACGTCTCTTAGTCTGTTTCACCATCTATAAATACAGACAACAACAGTACCTACTTCACAAGGTTGTCGTGAAGGTTAAGTCAAAAATGCATTTAGCATAGTATCTGGCATATAGTACAAATTCAATGAACATTATAGCTATTATTATAGCTACTATATATAAACACTGAAGTGTGGTATAGAAAATATTTAAAGAAAATAATTTGAGGGGCCAGCAGTTAGCATAATGGCTATGTTGCTGGACTCCCATGTAGTCGGTCACGGTTCACGTCCCGGATCCGGTGGCTTAAAACTCACGCCAGGCGCGTGTGCGTGCATGCCCAAGATCCCAAGAGGAGAATGGAGGAGAAGGGACTGCAGTGTGACCATCCCCCCTGGGGAGTGATTTCTCGCTTTCTATCTCTCTGTCTCTGTCTGGCGAGCGCACGCACCCTATAGCAAAAACCTCTCTCCCCCAAAACAATAAAGAAAATAATTTGAAAGACACGCCTAAATCAATTTTCTTTTAGCTCTGGTGGTCTTTCACCAAAACAAGGGCTAGAATCAACAGTCCTCAGGGACAGAGAGGTGGCATTAGGAAAACAGACTTCAGGAAAAAATTCTAGACTATTTTCCAGGAAATGGATCTGGTATCACAAGTAAATAGAAAATTTTCTAGATATAATGTTAAACTAGACAATTAAATGGGTATTTTTTAACTATCACTTAGAGTTCAGGTAAATATTTTCCATAGGCCAAATAAAAAAGAAAGACTGATCCAGGAAAAATAAGTTAATACTTTTTTGAATTCTAGAATTCTGATTGATATGAATTCTATACTTAATAATACAAGTTTGACAGCAGTCAAATTAAAACCAGTTCTGAGATATTACATGAAAAGAAGCATAATTTATCAAAAGAATACGACAGACTAGAAACACGGACCTGTTATGTGGCCTCCTGAAGGTTTGAGGCCATCAAACTGCTTGTCATGCTTAGTCCGTTCTTCAGAGGTAATAGCCCACATGTTTGGCCCTCCTAAAACACAAGTAGAAGACAAAGAAATTAGTGTATACACCAGAATGTTCAAAATATAATTCTAAAATGTAAAATTGGGGCTAGCCCAGTCATTAATTGCCGTGTGGAAGAAGCTGGCTCCCACATGGTCGACTAGGGTTCAAATTCCGGCCCCAGTGACAACACACCAGACATCTGCACATGTGTCCAGGATCCCAACAGGGTACAGAGCTGGACGGAGAAGGACCGCGAGTGACCAGGCCCCATTGGGGGTGCTCTCTCTCTTTCTCTCTTGCACGTGTATGTACTCTATCATAAATAAAGGGGAAAAATTTTAAATAAGATAAAATGTAAGTATGAATTACAAATGTCCATTGCATGACCATATTAAATATCTGAGTGAAACACAGAATACAGCTCCATCATAACCAGTCACAGCAGAGCCCTAATAAGGCTTTTCGCTCTTTCATTCAGTTAACATCTGCAGAACAATTACTGTATATCACTCACACAAGCTAAAATGTCGGGTAATAAAAAAAAAAAAGTATTACCCCCAACCTCAAAGAATCCATACTTTAGGAACCAACTATCAGCACTCAAACATTGTTAACCTATGAAGAATCCTAAGAAAAAATATACACTGGGCCAGCAGGTGGCGTGCTGTTTAAGGCATTGGACTCCCACGTGACTGACTGCAGTTCGAGGCTTGGACTTGGTGGCTTGCTTTCTCACTTTATCCCACTCTTTCTCTGGTGAGCACACATGCCCTGTAGCAAATTAAATAATAAAAAATAAAATAAAATGACTATTCTGAGTTAGATGCATCCAGGATGAGAGAACAGGGTTAGATGGCATGGCAAGAAAGGTCAAGGACGCTGTAAGTGCACTGAACAGACCAAGAGCTCGAGGAGCATGTGAGCGTAACAAAGCAGTAGAAGAAGGCTGGAACAAACTGTTGAGTCTTCAATACTATCCTCAAGAGTCTGACCTCTACCCTGAAACTACAGAGCTATCTAGTACTTTTACAAGTAAACTTTTAAGCTAGAATAATTTAGAACTGACAGTAAAGTTGTAAAGACAGTACAGGATTCCTGTACATCTCCCACCCAATTCCTATTACGTTAACAATTTACACAACCATGGAACATTTGTCAAAACAAAGAAATTAAAACTGTTATACTACTGCTAGCTAAACTAAATACTTGCACCAGAAGCAGTGGCTAGTAAACCCCAACACAACTGGACCCTGGGTACAGCAGACCCTGTAAACCTCTGTGAATGATGATTCTGCCAAGTGGAGCCACTGGCAAAGGGAAGTAACCTCACCTGGAGTATCCTTAGGGGTTTGAATGACCCATGGCAGCTTAGTGAGTCTCTCAGGGTTCCATGATAGGGTGCACCAATTTGAACTCCACAACTATCAAGATGGGAAGGACCCAAAAAGCCTGTTTGTCAAATGGAGTAGTCAAGAACACAGGAAGCTCGGCTGCAACAGCATCTTTATGTTAAAAAGTGGCAACTAACTCTCTGAGGTAAACTCTTCCCATTCCACTGCCTGAAGCAGATGCATGAAGCCCTGAGTTCAAGGAAGCTGAAAGCTGCTGGTGTCCGCTGGGCAGCAGTGGCTGTTCTGCCTCGGCCAGCTAAGCTGATCTGAAGAGACGCGGTCAGTGGGCAGAACTCAGATTCTTGGGCTGCGGCCAATGGCCCAGATGTTTAATTCACCACTTGGAAAATTACAGACTGACAGGATAGATTAAAGACATCCTCTTTGGGACTACAAATTGAAAACAAACTTCAACTGCTATTGAATTATCTAGGTCACATATGTAGACAGATACCCACAGGAAGGGTCCATTCTCTGATTCTGATTAAAATCAAAAGAGCTGACCAAGTGCGGCTGCATTTCTGATGCAGAAGATACCACTGCCTGCCAGACTTGCAGACTGTGTGTGTATTGGGAAGGGGGGAATCTCACTGCATGAAGCAATGCCCTATTTGACTTTTATCAAATTGACTACATCTGACCTTTGTTCCCTCTCTCAGGCTATCGGTGGTGCCTTAAACTATTAACTATTGATGTTTTTTCAATAGACTTTATTTTTTAGAGCAATTTCAGGTTTGTAGCACAGTTGAGCAAAAGGTACAGCGACTTCCTCTATATCCTCAGCCCCCACGTATACATCGTCTCCACCACTGCAACACCCCCCCCATGACACCTTTTTAAGGTTACCAATCAGCCCACAATGTCCATACTACCGTGGTCCATGAAACTAATCTGTGTCAGGTGGTGAGTTTTCTGAACTACATGCCTTCTGATGTCCCCTGATGGTTCTGACATGTTTTGATCACAGCGAATGGTAGTCAAAGCTATCTGGTGGGAATGGCACACACAGAGTCAGTTAAATCTAAGGTGCCATCAGAAACATCAAGGGATGACTCCAGCAGCTACACCTCCCATGCATGTCTTTCCCACCTCCCATCTCAGTAATGGATGAATTCCATCCAGCTGGTAGTGTGGAAAATGGAACCCAGGTATCCTTCCAAAATGACGATGACTCAACTATTCAAACTCTACTGGGAACCGTCACATTGGAGGCACTGTCCAGCTCTGGCTCCTTGCGATGTACTGGGTTGTCGTAAAAGTCACGACACATTTTTCCATGAAAAACATGAACAACCCAACAGAACCCACTTGCAGGGAGGGAGCAATAACTATAAACATGTTTTCCCAAGCATCCACGTGTGCATCCTCAAGATTCTACTCTTCTGTGGAAACCAGGTATTAACCTGTCTTCCTCCAAAAGCACAGTTACATGCACAGAGACCTTCAAGTATTTTTTAAAAGGAAGTATTTATTAAATTTTATGTATTATTATTATTTTTTAATCTGATCGGAGAGAGAGAGGAGGGGGGAGAGAGGGAGAGCAGGAGAGAGAGAGAGAGAGAGAGGGAGAGAAAATGAGAAAGCAAGCCACCAGGTCCAGGACTAGAATCTGGAATCATGGTCAACCTTGTGGGAGTCCAGCACCTTGACCACTGTGCCACCTTCAAGTACTTTTAAAAATACCTCCTTGGTGTTCAGGCACCAAGGCAACTAAAGTTATGTTCTAAACCTCACCTTCCAGACTCCTGAAACACTCAGACAAGGTAGGGCAACCTCTGTTCTCTCTCTGCCTCTCTCTGCTTATTATTTATTTATTTTTAAATTTCTAAACACTTCTTCTCACCTCAGGCCTTTTCTTTGTCTTGCTAATTTCAGAAGCCATTTTAAATCTGAAGTGTGTCCTGGTGTGTTCGTGAGTGGTGTGGTTTTCAATTTTTTACCTTTTAAATTTTTTTTCCCTTTTCTGTTGTTCTAGTTTTTTCTTTCTTTTTTTTTGTTTTCTTTTCCTTTTGCTTTTATTATTTTTTTTAACTTTGCTTTCCTATTCTGCTCTTCCATCTACACACACTGAGTGTCTAGAGAGGCGTAGGTGTATAGTGGCCAAGCATCTGAATCTTCTAGGATTACTGAAATCCTCATGCTTACTCAACTTCCTGCTTTAGGGAAGAAACTTTGTATATAGCTGAACTCATAATTTCTTTCTGTGGATACCATGTTGCAAAAGGAATGACCAGGAACCACCACAAAGGCACAAAAATTATGAGAATCCAAGGAAATCTCTCTCCCATAAGTGAAAAGAACAATCCTTCACCATCCACAGTCAGTACAGTGGAACTCACGGAACATCTGATAAAGAATTAAGAATATCTAAAGTGACAAAACTAAAAACATACAAGAAGTGAGAGACAATGAACTCCAGAAGATGCAGGAGTTCATTGGGACCAGCAGGTGGCATAGTAGTTAAGGTGCTGGACTCTCATATGGCCGACTGCTTTTTGGGTCCTAGACATGGTGGCTTGAGACTCACAGTGGGTAGGTGTTCATGTGTGCCTAAAATCCTGAGAGAAGAATAGAGGAAAGGGGACTGCAGTGTGGCCATCACACCTGAGGGTGATTTCTCATTGTTTCTGTCTTTCTGGAGAGCACACATACCTTATAGCAAAAATCTCTTAAAAAACAAAACAAAACAGGGGCCAGTAGGTGGCATGGTGGTTAAGGCGGCTGGAATCCCACATGGCTGACCATGGTTCAAGTCCTGGACCTGGCAGCTTGCTTTCTCACTTTCCTTCTCTCTCTTTGTCTCTCTCTGGTCAAATTCAAAATAAAATAAAGTAAAATAAAAAAGTAAATGAATAAAATTAAAAAACAAACAAACAAACAAACAAAAACACCTCCTTAGCCAATCAAGTCACCCTCAAATCACTGCCCAGGGTTGTTACAGACTGATGCTAGATTTTCTATTGGCAGGCCAGGGTAGAGTGTGTTCAATTGTTAATACAACTTCCTATACCTGAATTAATGCCTCAGGCCAGGTGGAAAATTGCAGGAGAGGGCCATCTTTCTAGCTCAGTGGTTAAGGGAGTTGGATACCACATGGCTGACTGTGGTTCAAATGCCAGCCCCGGAGACTTTCAACACTTACCAAGAATATGTGCATGCACGCCCAGAATCCTGATGGAAAGGAGGAACGGAGGAGAAGGACTGCAGTGTAACCACACTCCTACTGGGATTTCTTTCTCTCTCTGGCGAGTACATGTACCCTCTGGCAATTAAAAAATACTACTCTTTAAGAGCAAGCTGTTTGGTTTTCTAAAGTGGACATTGATGGTTTACAGCATATAAACAAGTTGTGTTGAGCTGGGATCCCAGAGAAGACAGCTGAGAACACTGCAGCCTGACACCAAACTGCTACGTGAATTCCTATTGAGGGATCTTAATTAAATGCTGCATGAAGTAAAATCAAGCAGATTAGACCCAGTCCCTGTTTGGACAGATGAATCAGAGTGGCCGAACAAATAGTAAACTCATGAGAAAATTTGCCAGAAGCTACAACGGAGAAGAAACAAAGGACAGAGATTGTCAGGTGACAGTTCTCCGCAGGCCCCCATGTTTCTGTACACCTTCTGAGGAAAGA